CCACCCTCTTGGCTGCAAACCCTCAAAACTAGCACATTAACTGCAATTCACAAATACTGTTCAACTTTGACACACACAGACCAGGGCGGAGGCTCCCCGCAGTATCAGGCTGAACACTGCTGCCCTGTGTGTTTGCTGCATATGATGGATACTGTAGCAAAAAGAGAAGGGGGGGGAGAGGAGAGAGACTCGATGTTCTCGGCAGACTATCCACAGCTTGCTAAATCATGAATTTGCACGTACCCAGTTTGGCTGGTGTCGCTGAGATATCAGAAATATATGATGTTACCTATCCAAAAGTCCCTCAGTGGCAAAGCTTCTGTTCCAACATTCTACTTGGTAACACTTAAACCAAATTACTTCTCCCTCGTTTCAACTTCACTTTGAACTATTGCATTCGTATTCAAGGAGGCCTTCCTTTTGTTAGCTTCTGAATGTAGCAGTGAATGTAGTACCAACATTTGAAAATGTGCTGCACGTTGCTGCAAAGGGACTTGGCCAAACACAAGGAAAGGTTGAAGGTTGTATTCATTTTGTTAAGCATTTCAGCACAGTCCTTTTACTTGCTAGGGTCTGGGGCACAGGGCAGACACAGGACAAGCTGTGTATTTTGCATGCATGTATTTTATTTATTATTGCATTTATATTCCACCATTCCTCCAAGGATCTCAAGGTGATGTACATCGTTCTTCCTCTACCCATTTTATCCTCACAACAACCTTGCGAGGCAGGTTAGGCTGAGAGACAGTGACTAGCCCAAAGTCAGCCAGGGAGCTTCACAGCTGAGTGGGGATTTGAACCTGGGTCTCCCCAGTCCTGGTCTGGCACTCTAACCACTACACCACACTGGCATACTTGCTGTACGCATGGATGAATAGATTTGTTGTCTTTCCCAATCCCTTCCCATTACTTTGCCTGTGTGCATAGAACTCCAGAGTCAAACCCAAAGCACAGTCCCATAGAGATTCAGGAGCGTCCAAGCTGAGGTATATAAACATGGGTAGTTGAGCAGACACAGCACCTCAGCTCTGCTTCCCTTTTGCAGCATCTGGGCTTGATGAGGCAGGTGACCCTCACCTGTCCTGAGCCTACTCCAGCTGATGAATCATTCCGCTTTTCCCAGAGTTAGCGAGCCCCACCTGGCCAGCTAGAGAGCTGGGCTGTGGGCCTTTGCCTGCCTCAGCCTCCTGGAGCACCTCTCCTGCTGCTCCCTAGGCCTCAAAGCCTGCCTTTTGCATGGAGACAGCAGCCCTTCTGGCTCTGATGATGGGTCCTGCTGCTCTGGTTCCTGTGCACTGACCCCCACCACATTGTTATGCTCCATCACCCTGTGAGTACTTCCTTCCTCATCCCTTTGCCGGGGTCCTCTGCCTCCTCCCCATCATCCTACCCATTCATGACATCTATCACTGAAAATAATATACAAAAACGTATTATGTTTGGGGTGATGGTTTTGCAAAAAAATGTGTATATTAGGCAAAATTGTGTACTCTACATCAGAAGAAATTCAAACTCAAAACGGTGATGAATTGCCACAAGGACTTTCACTTTACAAATTGATTTGGAAATGTGGAGAACTGAATTTAAGACTAGGAAAATTAGAAACTAAGAGACCCCCAAATTGGCAGATTTGCCCACCTTGGCCAGCGGATCTGCTTTGGGAACAGAAAAAGTGGAGAGCGAAACTCTGTGTGAAACATCCGTGGCTCTGCTAGGTGGGTTGTTAGGTAATGCTTCCTTCTGAGGGGATATGATGATGCCACATTAAGACCATTACAGCTAGGGGTTGTTGCTAAAATATCTGGCAGTGAAACAATTAAGATGGTGGTGAAAGGACTCGGTTGTCTGTGGCCTTTCGGCCTGTCAACACTGTTCATAGACCTGTTTGGTTCTTCCTTTTTTCTTTTTTTTTATACTGCTCCTTCATTGTAAAAGGATGAATGGTCTTTGAAAAAGCCTTGTACTTGAAAGGAATTTAGATATGCACTCTTGTACCTGAACCATTGTTTTAGTCTGCTGCACTCTCAAGAGGCTGCTCCTCTAGCAATGAGCAAATAGTTTTAATGAAAGCTGAAAAGCTACAAGCTTCGGAGCAGGTTGTACCAGTCTCTGCTTTCGTCTCTCTTGTTTTGAGCCTTTGCTGCAGGTATTAGTAGAGGTATCTGTCCCATCCTTATTGTTCTAAAATGCTGACAATTGTGAATTGTCAAGCCACTGCTGTATGTCTTTTGGCTGTGCTGTTTTAACAAAATAGAAAAATGTTGCTACCAACTCAGCTACACCATCTACTGTATTTCTGAGTCCATCGCCATCCAAAGCTAAATCTTGATTATTTTTACCTATTCTAACCTTAAAAGCTATGGATATATAGTGAGTGAGCAGGTCTTGTACAAAGTGTTTTTTGGGGGGGGGGAATAAATCAACAGATTCCTCTTTTAAAAACCGACAATCCAAACTCTAATTATTCCATGTACAAACTAAGTCAGGAAAGAGTCCATGACAAGGGGAACCCTCCACAAATCTGCTGAAACAGAGATCCACACATCAGCCTTTTGTAATAATGTCCATATTATGACAAATAATATTATTCCACAGCATAATCCTATACATGCTTCCGGAGTTCAGTGGGGCTTAGTCCTAAGAAAGTGTGAACAGGATTGCAGTGTTGCAATTAAGAGAATTGAAGTTGATTTGAGTTACAACAATTTGGACACTGGTGGCGCTGTGGTCTAAATGGTCTAAACCACAGAGCCTAGGGCTTGCCGATCAGAAGGTCAGCAGTTTGAATCCCTCCTACCAACCTAGCAGTTCGAAAGCACATCAAAGTGCAAGTAGATCAATAGGTACCGCTTCGGCGGGAAGGTAAACGACGTTTCCATGTGCTGCTCTGGTTCGCCAGAAGCGGCTTAGTCATGCTGGCCACATGACCTGGAAGCTGTACGCCGGCTCCCTCGGCCAGTAAAACAAGCTGAGCACCGCAACCCCAGAGTCGTCCACGACTAGATCTAACCATCAGGGGTCCCTTTACCTTTATTATCTTGTACTATACTCGTAGGGACGCGGGTGGTGCTGTGGGTTAAACCAGAGCCTAGGACTTGCCGATCAGAAGGTCGGCAGTTCGAATCCCCACGATGGGGTGAGCTTCCGTTGCTCTGTCCCTGCTCCTGCCAACCTAGCAGTTCAAAAGCACGTCAAAGTGCAAGTAGATAAATAGGTACTGCTCCAGTGGGAAGGTAAACGGCGTTTCCGTGCGCTGCTCTGGTTTGCCAGAAGCGGCTTAGTCATGCTGGCCACATGACCAGGAAGCTGTACGTCGGCTTCCTCAGCCAGTAAAACGAGATGAGCACCGCAACCCGAGTCGTCCGCGACTGGACCTAACCATCAGGGGTCCCTTTACCTTTACTATCTTGTACTATACTCGTAAGTCCCATGAATTCTCTAGCCTTTGCATGAAAAAAGGGTTGTGATTACCTCTTCAAAGGAGTCAAGTGCTTTTCTTGATTTTAATTGTCCATGTATATTTCATTGCCGTTTGAATGGCTCAGCTCACTAATCATCTTAAAGCTAACTTAATGGCTTCAAGTAATGATAACCCATATAGTTAGAGATCTACATGTTGAATATTACTTTGCTTGTAGTGACACCTACTGATTGGAAGGAGCTGTTTACTTGCTTCAAAATATGTTGACTTTTGTCCAATTAATTAGCGAAGTCTTTGTTGAGCCCTGTTGTATGGAAGATTAGTGCATTTGTGCTATTTTTTGTATAGCTATTTTATATAGCTATTTTTTATATAGTTGGATTAACCCATCATTTCTGCTGAACACAGAAAAAGCAACCTTCCTTGTAGGTACAAGGTTCAGGGATCTGATGCTGGCTCCTTTTGACCCAAAATGTAGTCTTTGTGGTTTACATTTAAGAGGTGACTTGTTATCTTTTTCCTGGAGTGTGCTGGTGAATGTGTAAAGGAAGAAATCAGTTTGAGATAGACAGAGAAAGTGGCGAAGAGTGAGTTTTGAACTCTGGAAACAGCTTGGGGTGTTTGCTGCCTCTCTGGGGATCTGATGAGGGGCTGTGAATCTGCTGCCTGCAAGCATGCTATGCTGTTTGCCTCCACCTATTGTATGTTCAACCTATATATTTGGAAATAAACCAAAATGCTGTAAGAGTCCAGTGGCTTCTCCTTCAACAGAAACCAAACCCAGTTAAGCACTGCTCCAGGATGTCTCATTACTTGGGAAAATGGAGGGATAAAAGCAGTAGGGTGTAGCCACAGATTTCTTGAACTGCACAAACGCAGTATTCTTGAGCGGCAATATGCCTCAGCAGCTAAGACAACCGATGTATTTTTATATTTTGAGCTGCCCTGAGATCTACGGATGGACGGCAGTATACAAATTTAATGATGATGATGATAACCCAACATTAAACATTTGCATCAGTGTATCTGTCGGTAACAACAGATCAGTATTGCTAAAATGATCCAACTTCATGATTCGTAAATGTATTGGTTAGCCTGGGCCAATCTGGTTTGTTGGCAGTGGGCACACAATCTCATGCATGCCTATGCAGAAGAAATCCACACTGAGTTCAGTTTGGCTTGCTCCTAAGTCAGTTTGCACAGGGCTGTGACCTGAGTCTTGGCATCCAGCTTATTTTGAGTTACCACAGTGAAGTGTACAATGCCATGTGTACCCTCACTTGGAAGCAAGCCCCACTGAAATCAAGGGAGCTGACTTGCCATCCATAGGCGTGTACTGTAAAAACTTGAGTCACAAATTATTTCTGGTGTAGCAGAATCCCATTGCCATCAAGTGGAACTTACATCCAAGGAAATGTGCCCTAGGACCTTAGTGTAAGTTTTTGGCACCTGGACTCAATCCCAACTTGTTTCCATTTCCTGTGCAATTAAAAAAAAAAGATTCTAACAGGCAACTGAACCTAGAGCAACATGTTGATCTATTCATGTGTGCAGAATAAAAAGAAACAAACAAATCATGGAAACGTTTGGCTCACTTGCTTTTATTTATTTCATAAATATAAAGTTGCAGAATAAACTCAATTTATTGCTAATAAATTATTAGAACACCCCCCCACCATTTCTCCTAATATGAAAACATGCAATCAGCCAATTTAGCTTCACTGTTTTCCTGTCACAAAGCAAACAACTTTAGAATCTTCCATGCAGCCATTCAGACAACATGAAAATATTAGGTACAACTCTGGACTGAATATATATATGTAAATATACCATAGGCAAAGCATCATTAACGTCCCGACATACAGACATGAACATGCAATAGCGCGCGCACACACACACACACACACACGTTCTATGAACTCATGTCTCTACTAGTAAAGGTAAATTGGAAAAACGCCCCTGGTGACATTGCTATGTTAGCATTGCCACACCTCTTCGCCTGATACTTCAGTGGCTGTGTGTTTCATGGAGTGGGAAAATGCTGATATGATTGTCACGTCACACTTTACCCCCAATAATTAGCGACCATGAAGATGTGGGGCAGCAGCAACCACACTTCTCCTTGTAGTATCTAATTAGGCCTCAGCTCCACATTTTGGCCATCAGAGGCTTCTGCTCCTTAAAGGTGCTCTGCTCAAAAAACCTCAATTCCTTTTTTAAGGCTTAAGGTATTGAAGCAAATGATGTAGAGCTACAAGAATTCTAAGGAATTGGCAGTTTTTTATGTAAGTGAAGATTCCTAAGTCACTATCTAAGCCACAGCTAAGTCACACTTATTCTCTAGATATGGCCTCTGGCAAGGAAGTTAGGAAATAATGTGGCTCATTTTTTCCCTTCCACTTTGTAGGGGGGTAGGGAAAGGGGGCCTGTGGAGAATGTTTGGAGGGATGGCAGGAATCTCAAGTTCTCTATGATCAGATCCCAGCACATCTGTATTTAAGTGGGTTTGAACCTCTGTGGTTTAACCACTAAGATTTTTGCTAAAAGACACCCAGTGTTTTCATGGAGGAATGCTAGTGGTAAACCCAGGGCAAGTTGAAACGGATCCAAATGGATCATCTGGTCTAACCCTCTGCCTTAGATAGGCCACCCCACAACCAACATTCCCAACTGATATCTGTCCAACCTAGATAAGAGAGCATCACCATACCTAGCAAAACACAAGACTGGCTCAACTGCTACAGCTCTGAAAAACTCTTATTTTGCTATAACTAACTACCTTAATCAACCACAATACAATACCCAATCTTATTTACTACAGCATAAATCCTATTCTTTTTATTGAGTCGTGAGTGCCTGTCTATCATAGTTATATAGCAACAAAACAGTATCTATTAATTATAATACCTTAGCGTATTTATGGATTGCATGCTAAAAATTAGGGGAACAATCCAGGAAATCTGAAGCATTTTAAGGTCTGCCTATTTCACTTGAGAAACATAAGCATGGGCTTATACCTCTCCCTCAAAATACCTAGGACTTAAAAATGCTTTCTATTTACTGAAATCGGGACCTAATTAGAAGGTATCCTTTAAAAAAAAATCATTAAAACTTAACATAACCTATTAAAATGGGTTCCGCTTGCTAAATAGAATCAGCCATTGCTATGAATTATCCTTGCTTTTTCTCCCCTTCAGTTTCTTCTCACTTCCCGGCCCCTTAAAGGCTGTGGCGGTCTGAAGTTTCTCAGCATACAGAAGGCAGCTTCTCCCTCACCAGTGCAGAGGAGGTTGCGGAATTTGGCGAGCTGTGGACGAAAATGGCACAAGATTCAGCAGGGAAGTGATTCAGATGCCCAAACTCAGCCCAAAGTTCAATTACATGCATCATTTAGGTTCCCCCAATCCAAAGCATTGCCCCAATCCAAAACCTTCTGCGTGCGTCAATGATTGGGAGATTACAGAACCCCTTTGTGCTTGATGTTGTTTATTACCTTCAGTAGGAAAGTAGCTTTGTGAGCGTGTCTATCTTTGCCTGTTCAGAGACCCCTTAAATCAGTGATGGCCAAACTTGGCCCTCCAGCTGTTTTGGGACTACAATTCCCATCATCCCTAGCTAACAGGACCAGTGGTCAGTGATGATGGGAATTGTAGTCCCAAAACAGCTGGAGGGCCAAGTTTGGCCATCACTGCCTTAAATGAACTGAATAACCTACTGTAGGTGTGGCAATTCTGCCAAGAAGTTCAGACCTCATTACAGCAAGGGGACTCAGCTACATTAGTCAAGAAACAGCGTTTTGAATGTGTTATAAACATGCACCACCACATGGTGTGTGTGAGAGAGAAAATTCTAAGCAATTTTCATAGCCTTTTATTTCTTTTGCTATAACAATTTAATTTCTGACTTATTTATAGCTTTTTTTTCTGTGTGCAGATCCACCCAGGAAGGCTCCACACACACCCTCCTACTGCAACACTGTATAAATGTTGAAAAGGTATATGCTGCCTAAATCCATTCACAGACACAAATTTGCGGACTTCCCACAGACATCTGGTTGGCCACTGTGGGAAAAGAATTCTGAGCTAAATGGGCCTTTGGCTTGATCCAGCAGGACTCTTTGTTCTGGGCACATTATGCTGCCTTGGATCCTCTGAAGAAAAGTGGGCTATAAGAAATATTAATAAATTCATTAAATCACTCTGAACTTGTACGAATCTCGAATACATTTTAACTAATCCTCACAATTTCTGCCAGCCACGTTGAAAAGATAGGCTGGGGTCGGATTTATTTCTAATAACTATGCTTAGGCCTGCAGCCTTGAACTTCCTGTACTTTCAAAGCTGGTGGCAGGTATATTCACCTAAGATCAAGGTACAGTTGTATCTTGGAAGTCGAACAGAATCCGTTCCGGAAGTCCGTTCCAAAACCAAAGCGTGGCTTCTGATTGGCTGCAAGAAGCTCCTGCAGCCAATCTGAAGCCCTTTCGGATGTTCAGCTTCCAAAAATAGTTCGCAAACAGGAACAGTCATTTCCGGGTTTGCAGTGTGCGGGAGCCAAAACGTTCAAGAACTAAGCCATTCAAAAATCAAGGTACACCTGTATAGTTGATTGTAAATATTCTTGTGGGTGCCATAGGCCTGGTTTTAAACTTGAAAGATGTTATTCTACAAGGCAGAGGTATTAAACCGCACCTGCTCTGAGCAAACGCTTATTGGCTCCCTGAGAATGATCCAGATGACACTTTCAAGAAGAGGAGGAGAAGTGAGGGAGCCAAGGTAAGTCCAATAGTCCAGTGAATGGGGCAGCAGGCAGGAAGGATCAAAGTTGGTGAACCTGTGCTGTTTACCCTGAGGAGAGAAAGAAATGAGCAAACACTGCCATACGCCATTTCCTATCTACCTTATTGCTTTTTGAAGAGGGAGCTGCGCTAGTCTGCTGCAGCACAAATAACTTGGTGTCTTGCAGCACTGTAAAGAAGAACAATTTCTGGGAAAAGGCGGGGGGGGGGACCTTTAGGCAATGCTTTCTAAAGGTAAGAGCTATTTGTCAGCAGACCAGACTGCCTTGGGAGGTGATAGGCTCACCTTTGCTGGAGGCATTTGCAGAGAAGCTGGAGGGCCACCTGTCAGGCATTGAGCAGAGGGTTCAACTGTGGACTCATCTACACGGCTGCAAATAAAACGCTTTAAGTGTGTTTTAAGTGCAATATACAATGTGACACTAGATGGTGATGGTGAGCCTTATGGAAAATTCGATGTCTTTTTAAAAACGCTTTAAGAAAAAGCATTTTCAGAACGTATTTTAAATGTGTGTAGATTCCACCTTAAGCGAGAGTCCCTTTCAACTTTAAAGTTCTATAAGTCTATGAGATGAGTCAAGAGATTCAAGTTAAGCGTTCGTAATAACGCAACATGCAGAATATGCTTGAACGGCTAAACATGGCAGGTTTTCTGCATGTGTGCCCTGTTCCTTCAGCAGGCGAAGCAGCGTGGGTCTGCCTCTTGTTTCAAAGAACAAGGAATTGGATATAGCCAGCAGAGGCTCCATGAGCACCTGAGTGTTCCTATAGCTATGTTGAATGCTGACATATGTTTTGATCTGATGGTTGGCTTATTCTTCATTTTTTTATTTTATGTTTTAAATAGCTGTTTTTAACTGGTAATTTTATTGTCATCGTTGTTGTCCCCCCCCCAAAAAAAATAAACTGCTTTGAGGTTTTATTACAATCAAGCAGTACATAAATATTGTGAAATAAATAAATAAATACATTGAAGAACGTTGTGGGCTGTGGAAAACACCGAGAGCAGTATTCAGCTGTCTTGCTCCATCAACATAAGGACTTCCTGTTGCGCAATGGGACTTCCCCTTCTCCCCACTCTGTGCATGCCCTGCAACACTCCTCTAGGGGGCTCAGGGAACCCCCCCAAAAACAGTTTTAGGGGGTCATGCAGGGGAAGGAGAAGTGGGGTTTGGAAGTCCAGTCGCATAAGTGGAAATCATTCTGCCTTCAGGGATAGTTCCTTAGTGCTGCATTGGATATAAACCCAAATTTAAAATTAACTTACCTTAATTTTGATGGCGTCCAAATGGTCTGTGATTTTCTTCAGCTGCGAATTGCATTCACCCACCTGTAAATACAAAGATCAACTTATTTGCCTTTCTTAGGGAAGCTGACAGATTTGTAATTTTTCATTTTGTTGATTCTTTTAAATTTATTAACTGCTTTCTCGTCAAAATGCTCAAAGCAGTGTAGAAGGTTTAAAAACTATATTAAAAAAATGCCTTTTTTAAAAAAGTCCAGAAACATGAACAATTAAAAATGGAAATATTTCCAAAATATTAGTTAGTCCTTCTTGGAACATGTGTCAGTTTTTTTTTTAAAAAAAATCATTGAATCATACTAAAAGTTGAAGTTCTGTGAACCTTTAAAAATGAAACTTTAAATAGCAGTTGCTGGTGGGTCAGGGTCAGGACTGCAGGGAGAAGCATTAATTCTTTCTTTTTGTGCCACACACCTAACACGCCCCCTCCCCCAACCAATGATGCTGTTAGTTGTGAGAAGCAAACTTCTATTGATGCAAAAAGGAACTTCACTCCATGTCAAACATCAGCTTCAAGGGAGGTGATTATTCGTTGGGGCTGAGCAGCAAGAGGAGTTATCCCTCTTCTCTACAGTTCTAATCCTGGTGTTGTCGTCCGCCTCTCCCCCCACCCCTTATGTTTATTTCTGTATTTTTGAAACACTAAAGCAACATCAAGTGATGCATTTAGCACTGCATGTAGTCTGGCTCATAGCTTCCCTTTACATTTAACTTTAATGTTTCCGAGCACAATTCAAAGTGTTGGTGCTGACCTTTAAAGTAAGGTTACCAGATTTTTTTCAGTGAATATGGGGACACTTTTCAACTTCAGTCGGAATGGATGGATTTTGTCAGGGGGCTGATTTGTAAATCCAGGGACTGTCCCTGGGAAACGGGGACACCTGGTAACCTTACTTTAAAGCCCTAATTGGCCTCGGTCCAGTATACCACCCCCATCACTCTACCCTGACACTGAGGTCCAGCGCCAAGGGCCTTCTGGCTGTTCCCTCACTGTGAGAAGCAAAGTCACAGGGAATCAGGCAGAGGGCCATCTCGGTAGTGGCGCCCATCCTGTGGAACACCCTCCCATTAGATATCAAAGAAATAAACAACTATCTGACTTTTAGAGGACATCTGAAGGCAGCCCTGTTTAGCGAAGTTTTTAATGTTTTATCGTGTTTTTAATATTCTGTTGGGCGCTGCCCAGACTGGCTGGGGAAACCCAGCCAGGGCAGGGCATAAATAACATATTATTATTATTATATACATTTAATCCCCCTATTCGAAACCTCTCACCTGTAAGAAAACAGCCATGACTGCTAATCCATCTGCCTGGCCAGCAGCCTCCACAAAACTGGCGTATTTGTCTGCATTCCAATGGACCACGTGGAGCTAGAAAGCAAGACATGTACTACCATCAATCATCACTTTACTGAAGCCACACAACTTTCCATAATATCTCACGAGGAGTATTTGGGACTAGTTTAAAACTTTTTTGTTTTTACAAGCCATCTTGAGGTATGAAGTCCTTTGGAAGCTCCATGCTTCTTGGTCCAAAGCTCTGAAGATCCGTTCTAGCCAGTCCTAGTCTTGGCCATTAAAAAAAAGCAATGAAACAGTCTCTGGCCTGTTCACATGCCAGCCCTGCCCACTAGGCCATGTTCCCCACCCTCATTTTCCCCTCGACAGGAATCCTCAGATATACACGCTGGATTTGAGGGCTTACACAAGGTCCTTGGCTGCTACGGAAGTGCAAATGAGTAAAATATATGAATTCTGACTGCTCGGTTCATTAAATCATTCCGTATTCTGGAACGTAAAGGTGTCTCAAAGCACTCGCACTTTTAGGTTCACTTTTAAAAAGCTGGACGGCACAACTTTTTAAAAAAATTATGCATGTTACAAAGAGGAAACAAATGCTTTCGGTCGGAATGGCTTTTATTGTAATGGAAAACAACAAACGAGAAAGGACACAAGTAAAATCTGAAACACTGTGGGGGAGGCCCATTCCCAATGGCTTGTGACTTCTCTTTTAAAGGATGTATGTATCTTGTCTTACCACCGCTTCTGCACCACAGCTTGTTGGAGAAATCTTTTAAGGCCTGTTTCTTGTGTGAATCACCACCATCATCAACATCATTGGCACTCCCGTACGGCAGCCTGCTGGAGAAACCTGGATCCAGTGGACAGGCCATCCCAGCTAAGTGGGACCTTGAATCCATTATCCTGTTGAGTTCATCTGCCAAGGGAAGTTGTGTCGTCTTCTTTGACCGCAGAGCAGCTCTTTCTTCTTGCATGTGCCAGTTTGGCAGAGGTGCATTCTTGCATTAAAGAGCCTTTTTCTTCTTCTTCATGGAACTAAGCACTGCAATCTGCCACCTAGCCACTGATCCTTCGGAAGACTCTCCACCTGTATAGTTATGCCTGGTTCTGTCTCAATTCTAGGGTCCTTTGTCCAAAGCCAGAAGGGTTTCTCTATTGGTTCTTGAAGATGTTTATAACCAGCAGTGGGAAACCTTTTTAGACTGACTAAAGATTCCTAGATATTGCCTCTTTCCATTTGGTTTCTTAGATGGAACTTATTTTTGTTTTGTTTTCCAGCTATATGTTTGTTTTGGAACATATTGTTTTCTAAGCACCTCTTATTAATTCTTTATATTCCAAATCACCTGGTTCCTGTGGAAAACATAAGTCTTTAAACACTGCAAATGTCATTTCCCACCCCCCCAAATTTATTTCCCCCACTGATTTTAGCCACTCAACATATTTCCCCACTTTTCTCTATTTCACTAAGGACATTGCTTCTCTCTGTCTTCAGCACTTGCATTAAAGTACTTCCATTTCAGGTTACCATTCCATTAAAAATAAATAGATAACTGAACTCTTAAAAGTTTGCATCTTAATGTTAGTTAAACAGAAGCCCATTTACACTTTTTTAAGGTGGGGGAATCAATATTCCAAAGTGTTAAGTTACGAAAAACGGCTTTTGCATGACAAGTTCCATTTCAAACACTGAAACAACTAAATGTCAGAGGAAGCAAAAATATTGAACACCCTGGTGCAGGGAAACCTTGATGTATCAAAAGTTTCAATGTGCACCTGAAGTTCCTTCACTTGGAAGTAATTCCTTGTTTATTTCAATGAAGGCAGCAGATACAAGTGTATATTCTTTTGAATAGAGCGGCCAACGCATCTAAATTACAGTGCGTGCATCAGAGCACACGATACCTTGATACTTAGTGTTTTCTGCACACAAGTGCTATAACCACAATGGATTCAATCATGCCCGTGTTGTTTTAGGACATTTCCTGTTTATTGGAATGCTACTATTTTCTCAGCTTGTTTACAAGAATCCGACTAATGTTTTAGAATAAAATGAATTCCCACAGAAGCAATGGCAAAATGTAAACATTTCTGCTTTTCTGTGGCCTTCAGCAATAAACATACAGGACGGACAACTCTCCGAGGACTGCCACACTTTATACAGAAGGTACGTCCTCCTTGTTTAGCACATGTACATGCAATGGATACTGCAACACTTGAAAGGGAAGTGAGCATCCAGGCATACTGCAGACATGCGCTAGGAAGCCAAAGCATAGTGCAGCTCCTCCATGGGGGTCCCTGTGTGTTTACTGAGATGTGTCTTCCTTCAAATATTGGTGTCCACCAATATATGGCAAACAGTGAAATTATATATGCTGTGTAACGAGTGAAGCAGCCCCCATTAGTCAGCATAATTTATAGAAACTTTTCTGCACGGTATACAAATGAAAGGCAGACTGGTAATACAGCTGGATGCCTTTTCCAGAAATGAGAAGAGGCAGATTTTGGGGAGTTGGGGGGGGGAGAGAGAGAGCAGTCCTGGTGAAGCATAATGAGATTTACAATTGTAAATGAATGGTCTTTCCATTGCAGAAATCACTTCGACATGTTAAAACAGGCCTGCTTATCAAAGAACGGCTGCAAAGATGCAGTCAGTACATCACAACTATTCATATAGTTCAGTGGAGTCTTTTACCTCTGCCGCAAATTTTGTCCCATCCACTGCATGCTCAGAGCCAATGTCATCACTGGGCCCCCAATGGAAGTGAATTTGCCGCAGCCTATAGTTTCCAATGAGTGGACCCCCACTCAGCACTATAAATATAAAAATGAAGGGTAGCATTGTTAGAATACCGGGAACCGAAGGGAAACATGACATTTCCTTGTCACTGCCAAAGGGCCAAAACAAACAGGATGTGAAAGAAGTGCGACTGGCTATCCCAATTTTAAAGTAGTTGCAGGGAAACTCTGATTTTGACCAGAGTCACAGCACTGGAGAAGGGCTTTAACCCCCACCCCACCCCAATTCTCTGAATCTAAATCTCCATCTCCACAAGAGAAAATGCAGGCAACATACAAATGTGGGGAGCAATTTAGATCTGAAACATGTTGCTGGGAGAACTGGTTAGCTTCCCCTCTTCCAGCACTACTCCTCTGACCAAAACTGGGGACATAGCACAAGGCTACAGTTTCCCTTTAAATTCCCTGTTTCTCCTCGAAATTGCTGGACTACATGGATCTCTTTGGGTCGAATTCAGCAAGGCAGTTCTTAGAATTTCTGAACAGGTGTGTGTATATATTTTCTCCTCTAATACTAGCAGCAGAACTGTCTGTATAAATAAGTTTGCCCATCTGCTATGAATTTTTTTTTTTTTTTAATACTAAGATCTTCCACTACTGAGCATAATAACATCTGAAATTAGCAGGTAATCACTTGACTTGCCGTTTCAATCCCCCTGCCCCTTAATCTTCTGATTTTGGGGGAATGAGCTTAGGGCCGGGACATAACTTGCTAGCTGACTACAGGCAAAAGTGGAAACGAGAAATCTGAACTGCTCCCATGAAATCAGACCTACGATCAGAAACAAAAGCTCCAACTATGCTGCGGACTAAATGAAAGCTGTATTTGGAAGAGGAATTTTGCCAATTTAAACAGGGTTTGCTGGGGGGCAACTATTCAGCTCTCTTGCACTGAAATATCTTCAAACAGAATGAGGCTAGGGTGTTTGAACTCTGGTAAATTCAGATAGATGCAATTGTGTATGTTATGAGAATTCTAAGATAATCTTAAACGATAGGCCTAGCTCGCAAGTCACTTTAAACCATAGTTAAAATAAACTATGGTTTCAGATGAAATGAGCAGTGTGCTGGTACATGAGGCTCGCATCACTAGTGTTTTGCTCCTCCTAAAGTCCTGTCTGTCCTTGGTAAGCGGAAACAAATCAGAAAGCTTGCTTTGTGTTATGTTGGTTTATCTCTGGTGGTTTACCAGACTTGCAAACCAGGCCTATCAATTGCAACATTTCCTCAAACAAACAATGAGTGCTGATTTTATGTCATGCCAAGCCAGTCTCTGGTTAGTTTCATCTCCAGAGCACGGAAGGGAGGAGCGAAATGTGGTCTTTTGCCCATTCACAGCAAATCATAGTTTAAAGTGCCATGCAAACCAGACCACGTAATGTTATTTCACCTCAGGAAATACTGAGAACCGCCCTAAAACGAAAGCAGAATGAAATCTACCACAAAAACAAACCTGATTTATTTTCAGTGTCATCGAATTCCACACTGGTTGAGTGTCCATTGTTGAGTATAACTTTAGCGGAGGAAGGGTCATAGTTAGGGTAGAGAGGACGCAGAGTGGGATCATATTTGGTCGTCTCAGTTTGGATATCAATGGGAGATTGACGGTCTCCAGTCGCGAGAGGGAAAAGTTCCTTCCAGCGAGAAGGCCCTAGAATGTATTGCAGTAGAAAAAGGTGTTCATTAAAATGCATTCCAGGCAGCCAGAGAAACAAAGGAATTGTCATGAGAAAGTAATCACATGAACCTACCTGGATTTTCTTATTTTTTTCTTAAAAAATATTATTCAGATAATTAAAAAATGGATGGATCTAAAGGGATGGAAAGTACACCGCCCAGTTGTCTTTGGTGAGCTATAAGGCAGCTCTCTCTACATAAATAGGTCTTAATTCTAATATGAATTAAATACCCAAGGATGCGGGTTAGAACCCTCGGGTGGGTCATTTTCTGCCTACTTCCAGGCATTCTGGTCATTAGGAATGCAGCAGGCACCTGAAATTGACACACATGCAATAGATTCAGAGAACATTTCCCCACGAGCTGATTAATGTGCAATCGACACATCTAAAATGCTTCATTCTGGTTCCATTCCTATATGGGACAGCTGCATATTCCTGCATCGCAGGGGGATTGAACTACAGTGGTGCCTCGCAAGACGAAATTAATCCGTTCCGCGAGTCTCTTCGTCTTGCGGTTTTTTCGTCTTGCGAAGCACGGCTATTAGCGGCTTAGTGGCTTAGCGGCTTTTAACGGCTTAGCGGCTATTAACGGCTTAGCGGCTTTAAGAAAAAGGAAACAAACTCGCAAAAACTTGCAAGATGTTTCGTCTTGCAAAGCAAGCCCATAGGGAAATTCGTCTTGCGGAACGACTCAAAAAACGGAAAACTCTTTCGTCTAGCGAGTTTTTCGTCTTGCGAGGCATTGGTCTTGCGAGGTACCACTGTAGATTGTCCTCACGGTCTCTTCCAACTCTACAATTCTATGGTACCTTCTGAAGTGGTACAATCAATTCAGCTACTATCTCAGATCTCTGCCATTGTTACATAGCCACAGTGGACCAGGCCCCCAGCCGTTTGGTGGTGTTAACTCACATAATACATGCACATTTTAAATGACAGGGCTGAAAACCAATTTCCTAGGCTAGAGTTCAGTTTATTAGGAGGTGCCATCCTTTGAAAAACAGTTCAGTTTATTAGAAGGTGCCAGCCTTAAAAGAGAAAGAAGTTCTTAGAATATTTACACTTAAATTAATTTTATGCTATTTAATCTGTCACAGCGATCTTCCAAGAATCTTGGAAACTGGTGAAGGGGTTAGACCGCTCTATATTAAACAACCCTCCCCAGTTCATAAAACTGCAGTTCTCCCAATTCCTTGGGAGAAGGGAAATAATGGTTAACCACAGATACACTATCAGATATTAGTACATTTTTAGGTGCTTTGGTGACCAGCCCTGGAGATTTGTCCAATTTTGCATGTTAATGCATAATGTAACATTCTAAAGAACAACAACAACAAAATGCCAGCAGGGATGGTAGGAGAATCAGTTCTAGTTATCAGCTTCCTTTTATTCAAGAATTCTTCACAAGGGGAGGAATAGCTCCAGTGTAGCCTCATATCCTTAATACTGTCAGGAATGCTTTTTGTGAAACTTAGGGTATACACCTCCTCTGCTATCCTACCGGTGGCTTCCAGTTCCTTAGAATGTTTGTGAAGATTGTAAGCAGCCTTCTGGAGATCTGCCAGTCAGTTTCCAAGTGTGCAAATAAAAACGCCAATATTGATTCATCACAGATTTCCAGGGATCTTTGCTTTAATCCTAGCTGTAGGTCTCTAGCACCAAAGCGTTCCTCCCCTCCCAATACTGTTGGGGGGAGCACAAAAGTTAACAAAAAAAATTGTTTTCACTTCATTTTAGCAGTATGAATTATAGTACTGAGTATTTGCATAGCACATTTCAGTCGTCCAGTGTCATTTATCTACATTAGCTCAGAAATCCTTACAACAGCTCTGTAAGGTAGGCAAGTATTTTTAGCCCAAGATTGCAGGCAGAGGGTTGAGGCTGGCTTACTTACTGAAGGCAACCTACTGAGTCTGACAAGATAATATCTTGACCCACTCTGGGCCTCTAATTCTTGGAAAACACCATCACACCTAATGTTATCTGGGATGCACAGTTTGTTCGACGTCAGACATGTTTCTGTCTCACCAAGATTATCTGTCCCGCAGGCTTTCAAACTGTGTTTCTTACCATATGTGGTATGTCAAATTATAGCCTCAAAATGGGTCGGCTACACAATTACTTGAAAGATTTTTCAGCTTATAGAATCACTTTAGCATACAGCCCCAAAAGCACCATTTGCAAAGTAACGTTTCCTACCACTGTAAATTTTCAACTGTGCAACTTGTAAGTTAATTAAGCCTGCACAAGGACTTGTAATTTGGCTTTTGTTCATGGCAAACAAGGAAGTATTAATTTCATGCCATCTGATTTAGAGTTCAATCCTGTGCATGCTTTGTTTAGAAGTTGAGTCCTACTGTGTGCATATAGCAGGAGTTCTTAAGCAGTGTGTGGAGTCCTACTGTGTGCATATAGTAGGAGTTCTTAAGCAGTGTGTGGATTACACTACCCAGGTCATTTGGTGACGCTGTGGTCTAAACCACTGAGCCTCTTGGGCTTGCCAAATCCCCGTGACGGGGTGAGCTCCCGTTGCTCTGTCCCAGCTCCTGCCAACCTAGCAGTTTGAAAGCACACCAGTGCAAGTAGATAAATAAGTACCGCTGCAGCAGGAAAGTAAACAGCATTTCCATGCACTCTGCTTTCTGTCAGGTGTTCCGTTACGACAGAAGCGGTTTAGTCATGCTGGCCACATGACCGGGAAAGCTGTCTGTGAACAAATGCTGGCTCCCTCGGCCCGAAAGTGAGAAGAGCGCCACAACCCCATAGTCGCCTTAACCGTCCAGGGGTCCTTTACCTTTGTAATTTAAAGAAAGTTTGAAAGCTCCTCATCTCTGTTACCGTGCAACCCTTCTCTGTAGTAATGAACATTTTATCACCTGTTAACCACAGATGTGGAGTATAATATATATATATATATTTTTTAAAAAAACCTATTGAAAACTATTCTAGTTGTAAGGAAATGATCTGGTATTTCCAGTTCAGAACTCTTCTGTGTTTTCAACACACAGCACAGCTTGTAGAAGTACCACATCAGCCAAGGTTCCCCAGATCTCCAGTGCGCTCACACAGATTCTTGAAACCGGGGGTTCCAATGTGCAACTAGAACATTCCACACATTTTGTATGCAAAGCCCCCAATGGAAGAGAAAACACATGGGGCATCCATTCAACATTTTGTATTCACACTAAAGCCCTGCATGTCACTGACACTGCTCATGATGTTTGCCAGTCATCTATTTAGTTTGCAAAGGAGGTACCTTGCTAAAGTATCATATATTATTAAGAAGACATACAATAAATCATTTGGTGCGCCACCATATGCAGCAGAACACAAAGCTGTGCCGTTGTATCTTCAATATGTGTCTTGCTAAACAGACCTCATCCATCCTTCTGTTGCATCAAGATTAGGCAACTGCAACCCAATACAGCATAGAGAGCTTTTAACAGTACAAACTTATACATCCAATACAATCAGAAGCGAATCCCATTGCGTTCAGTAGGATTTACTACCAAGTAGGTGAGTACAGGATTGCAGAAGGTACATATGGACTAAGAAGTGCTGGTTCTAAAGTCGCATTATTAGTTAGATTATGTTTATTCCGTAAGGTAGAACAAGTATCAAAAGTCAGAGATCTCCCCCAGCACATTAACTGAGCTCACCAGAAATTTAGGGAATGCAAAGATGTATTCAGCTTGGAAGGATTAAGGGATACATCACAAAACAAGCTTGTTTTGGTGCAGAAGGAAATGTATAAGCTGCACCATAACTGTAAAGGTTATTGGCTCACACCTTTCTCTAGCACAAGGTGCTGTATTTTATATGCTATATTTTATACATGATCCCTGATCCCAAAGAACCATGAGTTCAGTAGAATTCTCCAACTCCTGCTGTTCTACACTTTCCCGTCTCTAAATCCACAGATTCCCTATAATATACTTTGAAAATCTGAATAGAGAGCTGCATTGACTGCATAGGGAACCTCTGGATTTAAGATTCTGGGAGGAGAAAGTGTGGGACATCAGTAGCTGGAGGGGAAAGCCATATGAGAGAGGGAGAATTAAAGGAGGCATGAGGGGTTTAGAAAAGCCCATAGACTGCATTTGCAAGCAGAAATGGGGAATGCACGCAGAGACAGCATGAAATTGAAAAAAGCTGAGTTCTGCAACTAATCTGTTTTATTTTTCATTGTTGCTCTAATCCTTGTTCCCCATTCCTCACTTTGATCTTTAGCCATTTAATTTTTTTTTTTTAAGTGTGCAGTATTAATTAAGGTAAAATTTAAGTTTAGAACTCCTTCACTCTAAGGCATCGCAGCAAATCACTTTGGTGGTTCAACACCTCCAAATGCTTCATACAGGTTTGTGTTTAAGTTAAGTCCTACTGAATTCAACAGGGCTGCCCAAGTAATGGGGTTAGGACTGCTGCCTAAATCGCTCTAAAACATGAAGGTAAAGTTCATACTGGCTAGAATGCATGTTTGTTTTCCCCCCTGCTTTCTGACATGAACAACATTCACACATAACACAAAGAATCGAGTTGAAATACATGTGCTTTTGAGTGCCACAGAGAAAAGGTCTCATGTGTAGACTGCCCTAGCACAGATTTCAGAAGTTTTACAGAGTTATAGAGTCCTTTATAGAAGCGGAATAAACACTGTGGAAAGTAATGTTAGTTCAGAAAATATTATTAATGCAATACCACAAAAAGGGAAAAAAGAAACCAATTCATGTTAAACCACCACTGCCTTGCATCTGATTTAGCAATCAATATATATATATATATATATATATATATATATATATGCCTTCCTTGCCCCCCCCCAAAAAAAACTACAAATCAGCTGCTGTTTTAAGTTTTGCAAGCCTTGCTATCAATTAAGAAGTTCCCCGTAATTTCCCAGAAGCAGCAATGCTTAAAAAATCCCTAGTTTAAACCCCATTTCAAAGCGTTAATTTGTTTGGCAAATTGTGATTAACAGCACCTACTAGAGATCCATCCCTCTCCCACCTCCACTTGCCTACAACCGCCTAACTTGCAAACAAATCCCACTACTAAAGCAACACGCCCCGGATCTAGATGCACGTGCGGTGGAACTGGCCGCACCGCACTTAAAAAGTTGTCCATGCCTTCTAACTCACTTACTGAACGGACTTTGCATGTCGCCAAGGCCCGAATTAAAAACAAACATCTGCCAGTGTTTCTCAACCTGTGGGTCCCCAGATGTTGTTGGACTACTACTCCCATCATTCCTAGCCAGCATGACCAGTGGTCAGGGATGATCTGGGGGCCCAGAGGTTGAGAACCCCCCCTCACCCCAGCCCTCCCCCCCGGGTCCCTACAGCCCCCTCCCGTCCTGCTCTGATTGCCCCAGAGAGCCAGCAGCAGCAGCTCTCCCCCCTCACCGTTGTGCTCATCGTATCCCCAGTGCATCATGGCTAGTCCCCTAACGGGATGCTCTGGCTGGTGCCGCGGCAGCAGGGGCGAAGAGAGGCGGACGCTCCACGAGGCAGGGACCAAGCGCGCCCAGGGCGGCCCCGCGGCGCCTTCTTATGCTCCGCGCGCCCTGCAGCGCCGCGCTTGGCCGCCAGGGGACCCAAGCGAGGGCGTCGCGGCGCCCCCCGCGGGAGCCCTGTCACTTGAGAAGACGCGCAAGGCGCAAGTGGTGTCGCCTTGCCTGGCCCTCTCTGCTTTCATAGAGATGTATTAGAAAGCATTTCGAGGCCGATCCTCGGCAGGTTAGCCCCAGACAAGCCTGCTGGATCAGGACCCGCATCCTGTCCAGCATCCTGTTCTTACGGTGACCGACTAGACGCGTGTAGGAACTAGGAAGCCTGCAAACTGGACGTGTGCACGGCAGCAGTCGGCCCACCTGCGATTCCCAGGAACTGCTGCAGTGGCAGTAGAACCTAGCTAGCCGTGCTAGCTAGTAGCCCAACGAGTTACTTCCCTGTAAGATGCGCAATGGATTAGGAACGTCGGGAAGGATTCCTGCAGGTTCAGCTCCCAAATACATCTAGGCCAGCTTTGGCCCCGCCCGCCCCCCGCTCCCAGCGGGGTAGCCCTGCAGTGCGATCTGCTCGGAAGTAAGCCCCACTGAGTTCTCTAGGACTTGCTTCTGTGTAGACACTGCAATCCTCCTAAACAGTAATATTATGAGTAAGAAGGGACTAGAAAGGATGCTGTTAGTAAAACATCAGATCAGTCCAAGCCACAGCTAACTCATTAGTTGCACGATTGAGATGTATACAAGCCACACGGTAGCCTTCTCGGTAGTCGCGCCAGCTTGTGGAAGATGCCAAAGCGATAAATAATTATAAGACATTCCGTAGACATGTAAAGGCAGCCCTGAATTGGGACGCTTTTAATGTGTGATGTTCTGTTCTGTTGTTGTTGTGTTTATTTATATTTCGTTGGAAGCTGCCCAGAGTTGCTGGGGCAACCTAGTCAGGCGGGCGGAGTATTATTATTATTATTATTATTAATTATTACTACTACTACTAATACTAATGTTATTATTACATAGGAAAGTGGCAGAGCCATTAGGAGCTTATCAGCAATTCAACAATGAAAGTATTAGTGCTCCTTTAGTTTTAAAAATATCCTAGGGTAGGGATTGAAGGGAAGCGTGTATTATTTTCATGTTTGCTTTATTGTATAGTTTGTATTACTAAAAACGCAAATAAATACATTTTAAAAACTGTAGCTTTTAAAAATGACATCTGTTTGGACTAATCACTTGAAACTTTCCATACATGATCTGCCTGATGAGCTCCTCTATAAATGTGCCAGATTTCAAACCAATACAGTTAAGATTGCCACAGCTTTAGCAAGTTAGCTGCACTAAAAATTGACTATCATTCTTATACATATATTTCTTTCCAGTTCTGTTGAATATGTTTCAGGGAACATTATCACTTCATGTACGCTGGTGGCATGAAGTCATTCTCAACTGAAAATAGGGCAATTAGTCAGCCCCTAAGCATAAACAAAGGTGTCCCACAATGTCATCATCCGAAGGATAATGTATTGGGTGTTGCATCAACATGGGCAAGAATTCCAGGTCATGCCTGGTAAAGTAATCACACACATTTTACGCAATTTGGGCAGAACTAAAACCAGGTTAGTGTGCAGTAGCTCCACTTCCATTAAAAATAAATAAATCTGACTTGCTCTTCCCTCTTAGATTCCTTTCCTTACCTGTGGCAACCCAGAGTCAGCCCAAGACCTTTGGATGTCCTTCTACCATAGAAGAAGTCAACTGACCAGAGAACTGAATCTTACTTCAATACTCATTCTGGTCAGTGACCAAAATAAATCAATTCATTTGTTCATGCTTCAATACCAGTGACAGCACAGCATCCTTGACCACACCTGAAAGAAGCAAGCTAGCTTAGGGGCTGAAGTACTCATAACTCTGTTGCCATCAACACTGCACCACCAGCACCTGTCCCTCAGTTTCTGCCACCCAAGGCAGCCACCAACTTCTACCTAATGGTAGGGCTGGCACTAAACAACCCAAAAACCTTCTCCCTGTGTCATCTTTCTCGACTCCTAGCTAATACTAGGGTTGTATCGAGGAAGGAACCTAGACCTCATTTATTCAGAGGTGGCTTTTTTTGTGTGAGAGATGTTACTGTGCTTAGCTGGGAGTACAGGCTGTTTATGGAGTTGAATACTTATACTGCAGTAGGAGGTTGCTGATAAAATGCAGTTTGCCTTCATTGCTATTGAGCTATTGTGTGAAATACAACTATTATGAGCATGTATTAGAAATCAATGTTAACACTGATATAATCGGACAACACTGCAGGCATCTTATATTTTGTTTCCACTGCAATCGTGTATGTAAAGGCACTATTTTACACACGGATGTAAAATATGTACGTGATTTGGCTACAGTTGCTCTTTTTCTGCTATTTCTTAGGTAGCTGTTGTATTTTAATTTTTCTGAACTGAGCAAGCTTATGTGCATATTTAGTATAGTTTTCTCCCAACCTGCTGTCCTTCAGGGATTTTGGACCAGACTGACTGGGGAGGGCACCAGGTTGGGGGAAGCTGATTTCATACATGCGCTGTGGTCTAAACCACTGAGCCTTGGGCTTGCCAATTGGAAGGTTGGCGGTTCGAATCCCCGCAACGGGGTGAGCTCCCGTTGCTCGGTCCCTGCTCCTGCCAACCTAGTAGTTCAAAAGCATGTCAAAGTGCAAGCAGATAAATAGGCACCACTCCAGCGGGAAGGTAAACAGTGTTTCTGTGCACTGCTCTGGTTTCCCCAGAAGTGGCTTAGTCATGCTGGCCACATGACCCGGAAAAACAGTCTGCGGATAAACGTTGGCTCCCTTGGCCAGTAAAGCGAGATGAGCGCCGCAACCCCAGAGTTGTTCGTGACTGGACTTAACTGTCAGGGGTCCTTTACCTTTTATTGTACATGTAAGGTGATAGTCCTTACTATGTGAAATGTGCTCATTACATGCATGCCATGGCAGGTTTTCCGGATCTGGATGGAAAACATTCAGTAGAAATCACAGGAAGATCATCCAGTCCTAACCTGCTATTTGAAAGGCAAGCCCATCTATCTAGAATATCTTTCTCGCCTGTCAACCCTCTTTACAGTTAGGACGACAAAGGGACAGAGAGAAAGCAGCTGCACTACACAGCGGAATAGCTCTTGTACAGCCACTGGCATGCATTGTGTAGGCAAGAAATGAACACAAATGGCAAATTGTTCAGTGCCGCCTCTTGGTTTATCTGCTCCCAAGGCAGCAAGAGAGAGATGCTTGTTGAGAATGAGCACAAAAGGGATATGTGAGAACAAGGAGATAGTGCAAAGAACACTGGCCAGGGAGATAAGAGATTGCCCTTTCCCCAGCCCATATAATGAAAAACCTGAGCAACTACTGCTGCACTGGTAAACTGGTGTTGAGCAAAAAGCCTTCAGAAAACCACTGAGTTGCTAATGTAAGAGTGTGTGGTACCTCTGAAATAGAACACACTGATCTTCAACTATTTCAAAACTATGTGAGTTTTCCCCTCTAAGGTTTTGCCTCCATAATTATGTGCTGTCGTAAAGTGGGTCAGAATAGCACGGTGGCTAAGAAACAGAATTGTGATTCAGTTCAAACCTCACCTCTTGCCAAAAACTCATGAGCCTCTCAGCCTCAGCTTTCTCTTACCCACAGTATGTGGGTAATAATCTTTTTTGTCCTACCTTTCAGAATTGTTGTAGGAATAAAGCAACGCAAGGGCTATAAGAATGCTATGTCTTATCACATAATGTGCTGTACTGGCAAGTCCGTTCTGTCATAACATTAAAACCAGTATGCACTTGAAGGTAGTGCAATTCTCTGTGCACTCAGGCACTTCCTTGTTTCAGTAGTTTTGCTGTTGGAACAAATTCTTAGCTTCGATGATTGGCAAAAGAATGAAATACCTCTCGATAACCAAACTTCTGGATGAATGCATCCAGAATTCTGTTCTGAGCTATAAGAGAACTGCATAATACCCCAATCTGAAAGGGAATAGAATGGACAAGTACGTAATTGCGGTCAACATGTCACACAAAAAGAAGACAGAATTCTGGGCTGACCCATGTGCTGTTCAGCAGAGGTCCAGGCAAGCTGAACACAAGCCATTTCTCCTCTTTTCTGTCTATGACTTCTTTAGCATTGTCTACAGCAGTTCTGGGCAAAGTGATTGCTTCTTAAAGGTGCATCCATGTGGCATTTAGAACAGCACATGAGTGTGCAGGCATGTATGTATACATCCAGTGCACACGTCACATCTCCTTATCTGAAATCCTGGACAACCACTGCTAGTCAGTGTAGACGATTCTAAGATAGATGGACCAATGGTCTGTTCAGTATACGGCAGGTTCCTATGTTCCTTATCCTTATTCTACAGCATGTGTGGAATAGACCTTAAACAAACTGTGTGAGCTAAAGGGAACCTCTATTTGTGCCCCTAAACACCAGTTTTTAGGGAACTGCAGTGAGGATAGAGTAGACTATAGTGGTACCTCGGGTTACAGATGCTTCAGGTTACAGACGCTTCAGGTTACAGACTCCGTTAACCCAGAAACAGTACCTCGGGTTAAGAACTTAGCTTCAGGATGAGAACAGAAATTGTGCTCCAGCAGTGTGGTAGCAGTGGGAAGCCCCATTAGCTAAAGTGGTACTTCAGATTAAGAACAGTTTCAGGTTAAGAACAGACCTCCAGAACGAATTAAGTTCTTAACCCGAGGTACCACTATATTGCCTTCATGCTTTACTTGTAGGCTTGTGATTGGCCACTGGCTGAAACAGGATGCCAGACTTGTGCACACAATACAGCTTTTAAGCCCATTCGAAGCACATTTCACTCCTCAAAGAAATCTGGCCACTGTAGTCTGTAACTCTGTGAGGTGTAAACTACAGAGTCCAGAATTCTTTGGGTGAGGTGGAAATGTGCTTCAAATGCGGTTTAATGTGATCCAGCAACTTTCATCGTGTTTTTAAATATATTAAATTTAAGAGCGCATTGCCACCTTCAGTTTGGTGCTGATATTGCAATTTGGGCTATGTTATCCAAAGTGCCTAGGCAGGTTTTCCCCAACAATGCCATTTTAAAACTGAGATTCCCAAAAATATGTGATCGTCTGCAAAATATACAGCTTTCTACCCTTATTTTCCAAGCATAATTGCCTCTACTTCCAGTGTTCAGACACTGAGTGTTGCTGCTTATGCAGTGAAAGCCACAAGAGAGTGGTGTCAGCTGGCTTGAGGGAGCCCTTGCGAAAATATTCCAAATACCAAGCAAATCCCCTTTCAGGAAGCGCCAAAACAACCCAATGAAAACTGAATATGCTCAACGGGCAGGGAATGCTGACTGTGTGCATATGTAATGTAAAATCAGGTAGAAACAGAAGTTAGTGGCTAAGATCTAATCAAACCGCAGGACACACACACAACCCTGCAAGTTTCCTCCAGGCGGGCACAGGCAAAGATTGCGCCACCCAGGGGAGCTCTCCGCAAACACACAACTTCTGGCCCGGGCATGTAGCTGGGGAACTCCCTGTCGCTTTCGGATGACGTCAGGCGCCGCCGCCGCCGCCACACGTGGTGCAGTAGGCAAGGGCAGAGCCTGGAAGCCGGACGAGCTTGCAAGGTGTTGGCTGTGCGTGCGAAGAAGGTAAAGCCCTGGGAAGAGCGGGGGGGGGGGGGGAACCGTGGGCTCGGACTTCAGGGTGTATCCGCGTTTTACCCTCGTGTAAGCGAGATATATAAGCGGCGGAGAGTGCAACTGCGGAACTTCGCCCCCCGCAGGAGGCAGTGATGGCCACCAAGTTTTGTTGGGCAATTTTATGGAGGGCGAGGCTGTTAATGGCTCCTTACCCACGATGGCTGTGCTCTCCGTTCAAGGTCGGAAGCAGCAATGCGCCTAAATGCCAATGGCTGGGAACCGGAGGAGGGCAGAGGGGCTTTTGCGCTCACCGGGTCCTGCTCAGGGCCGGATTTAGGTTTGATGTGGCGCTGAGGGTTAAACCACAGAGCCTAGGACTTGCCGATCAGAAGGTCGGCGGTTTGAATCCCCGCAACGGGGTGAGCTCCCGTTGCTCGGTCCCTGCTCCTGCCAACCTAGCAGTTCGACAGCACGTCAAAGTGCAAGTAGATAAATAGGCACCGCTCCAGCGGGAAGGTAAACGGCGTTTCTGTGCGCTGCTCTAGTTCGCCAGACGCGGCTTAGTCATGCTGGCCACATGACCCAGAAGCTGTACGCCGGCTCCCTCGGCCAGTAAAGAGAGATGACCGCCGCAATCCCAGAGTCGGCCACAACTGGACCTAATGGTCAGGGGTCCCTTTAGCTTTACGCTACTGAAGGTAATGGGGCCCGTTATATGTCCAGCTGTCCTTTGTCAGCAACAAATTGTCACTGTCTTTTGTGTTGAATATATGCTATGTGGTAATTTATGGACCACCTAATAGGTATCTAAAGCCATTTGCACATAACAAAATATGTATTTTATCAAAGTAATTGTTCAACTGAAATACAATTAAGAGGAAGTATATTAATATTGAAATTTGGGGGGGGGGGGCCAAAAGAGTGGGGCCCTAAGCAGTAGCTTGTTTAGTTTATACGTAAATCCATCACTGGTCCTGCTTGAGGTTTTCCTGAGGACATCTGCACGGCCTCTAGGATAACAGTCTGCTGGACTGGATGGGCCTTTGGCCCAACCCATCAGACTCTCCTTGTCAATGTAATGTTGTAGTGTATCCTCAGGGCCTAAGAGGAGTGCTCCTGTTTATAGCTGCAACCAGCCCGGAACTCTTATTGGGGAGATTTTCTTCTTCTCCCATATGCAGCCCTACTTCCCTTGGTGTGTTGTAGTTTCTCAGATGTTGGACTACCGTTCCCAAGATCTCTGACCATTGGGCATGCTGGCTGGGGCTGATGGGAATTGTAGGTTAGGGACTCAAGGTTGGAAAAGGCTGTGCTAGAGGACTGCCAACGCAACTGGACATTTTATGGCTGTGCGTGGGAAAGGGCACACAGTTCTGGAGAGGATATAACTCCTTTTTCTTCTAGTGCCCCTTTATAGAAAGGATGGGTGCGACCTTGGTTCTCCAGATGTTGTTAGGCTACAGTTCAGATGATGGTTGCAAGATCTGGGTTGGTTCATATGGGGAGAGGTGGTCTGTTGCTCTGCTATGAAGCTGTACTGGCTGATTCAGATTACTGGTTGCACCCTGGTGGCCCTTTAAACTTGTTGCTTACAATCTTAATACACTTGACTTAAGTGTGCACTTGAATTCTGGGCTGAATTGTGGCTATTATGTGTCGTTTCTTAGCACTTGAATAGCCAGGAATCTGGGTTTATAGCTTCATTTTATGCAAGTCTCAGTTGCTTTAATGGGACTTCTTCCCACATTAGTGTGTAAAACTGCAGCCTTATTTGCATGAAAGATTCAAGGAGCTTTTAAGTATTATTGCTTACTACAGCAGCCAAAACACATTATTTAAACTCTTGAAAACAATATTTTAGGCAATGGGCAAGAACAAGGGAAAAAGTCAGAAGCCGATGAATGTATTCCATGTGGCCAACAAGAAAATTGCGAAGGTTAAAAGGAAAGCAAAGCCAGTGACAACAAATCTAAAAAAGGTTAGTTTTAGAAGATTCCTTCTTGCTATTGTTTTAGATTCTTCATTAGGAACATCTTAACAACCTGTGCTGTGCATGATAAATGGAAACAACCCTAGTTTATGGCATATGCCATTCTTTCTCAACCGTGGGTCCTCAGGTGTTGAACTACAACTCCCATCATCCCCTTCTCACTAGGGATGATGGGAGTTGTAGTCCAACAACACCTGGAGACCCAAAGTTGAGAAAGGATGGCATATGCAATTGCAGAGTGATGGAAGGTACAGGACATTCTACTAGCCCCATTCTTGACTTCAAATCCAAGGTGAATGAATGCAGGGGACGGGGAGGGGATTGTGCCCACTGACCCAACATCTCCCTAACTTCAACTGAGGTTAGTGAGGCCAGAAAATATGACCCAGTTCTCCCTCCATATGCATGTAAAGGCAACAACAATACAACAATTTATTTGCTGAGAGATTAGATGACATTGGCTATTTAATGATTTGTTTGTGGAGAGATTACATAACACTTTGATGCAAAGTAATCCCCCATTTTCCAGTCACTCCTCATCACTTGAGATGTCTGATCTTTTGGGAACATGGGTTTGTTTTAACCAGAGCTCCAAATCAGCTTTAATTGTACAGCCTGAATCGGCTGGAATGGGATTGAATTGCCCCAAGAACAGCAACAGTCTGGAAATGCCTGTAGTAATTTTCTCATGTTTAAAATCTATAAGCCTGATTCTTGGAAGTGAGTGATGCAAATCTATTTTTGCATATTTTTGAAAGACTTCACCCTGCCTCAGCCTAATGAACAAGCTGAGCCGTTATGTAAGAATGGTTCCCTTGGTGAACTTTTGAAATCTTAGTGTAGTTTAGTGTCATGTATACCCTCCAAAGTTATTTTAAAACACAACACATCGAGTTTCTATAGCTTACTGCACAGAAAATGCTTTTAGGTTGATCTTGAAATACAAAAGCATAAAATTTGTTTTCTTTTCCCCCAAAGATTAATATTGTGAACGATGAAAAGGTTAACATGGTGAATAAGGTATTTACAGAAGTACAGAAAGAAGTTAAGCAATTGTCCAAAGCCATTTCATCAGACTCTCCAAAGAGCTTTCAGGTAATTCTTTTGCATTATACAAAAATAAAGTAAAGCCTCTTTTCACAGTGTACTAGAGCTATAAGGGGAATGTAAACCCATTGTGTTACTTGGAACTTTGTGATATTAATTTATTGCATTTGATTTTGGCATGGAAATCTGTTCCTATATGTTTGGTTCCAAATATCCCCTTTTACTCTTTCATTTGGCATCTGTTATTATATTATATTTTGTTGTGTTACTATGCTGCATTTAGGCTTCAGTTTTCAATAAGTTGGTGGTTATAAGCGTTTTCTTAAATTATACATGGACACTGGACCCAAATCGCTGAGCATGTGTGTTTCCCTGATCAGATTCCAAAAGCTATGGAAGGTGAACCAGCCAATGTGGATACTGCTACTGACTTGCTGTCCCAATTGTAGCACCAAATAGTACGTATTCCATCAATATTTGCACCCCCTGATAAATCGGCAAAAAGCAACTCTTTGTATAGTTTTATTTTAAAAATCTTGTTAATGTACAAGCATTGGCACTCTTTTAATACAAACTACAAATAGTGCTTTCCTAAATCTAGGAATGTGGAATGTCAGAAGTAAAAAACAGAGAACAAAATAAAGTGCTAATTAAAAAGGCACTCCACAAAAGTGTTCACTGAAACAATGTAGCATAAACTAGTTAATGCCCTTCATTCTACAATTGGCAGTGGAAGTTTTAAGACATAAAAGGTCAGAATTCTGGAATGATTGTAGAGGATTTCCAGGTGTATAAAACGCAGCAGTCTGGAGTTGTACAGGAAGCAGAGTTGGGCTTATGAAACTTTGGTTCCTAAAGAACAAATTAAAAAGAACTGGGGCTTTCAAGTAACTGTATTAAGCTACTGTAACATCTCTAGGAACACCATTCCCTGCACTGCAGTAAAAGGAAGCTTCTGTTTTACTGAGTTTATAAGTTGATCAAAATAATGAAGTACAAGGAAGAATGTACACCCCGCGTTGGTGAACTACAGAAGTTTTACATTCATTATTTTAAATACTTGTGTTATGAAATTAAGTCTACAATATTATATCGTTAGAGGTAGATGAGGCAATCTGGCTGCATCAAATCTAGTAGTTCAGTATCTGCACATCAAAGAGGTCACAGACTCCTTCGTTATCATCCAGGTTGAAGTTGTAGTCATCTCCAGGAGTAGGAGAGAGCCGTAAGAGGGGGAAGACTGCAGAGGGGAAAAGAAATATCAATTTAAGCAAAGTTTGTGTCACACAGCTACAGTACCAGTCCTTTGCAAATGAACACATAACTATCCTGATGCCTAGTTCTGAATTGGCATTATTATTCTCCCGGCCTCCAAAACCATTATCATTGCTGCCACATTCACCCAACATCCCGGAAGGCTGTTAAGGCGCACTGCATTTATTGTACTGAAAATGTAGAAGTGTTAAATTGTATTTTCCCCACCCCCTCAGGTATGAAGCGGAAGGGACAGCTCACAACCAGCTTATACAGTTTGGAAAAAGCAACTGGAACGCCTCTGATGGAATCAAAAAGACATGAGATGCAATGGTCTTCAGGCAACAGCAGAGACGTTGCACGAGTTATTTAAGATGAAGACTCCCATCCATATGGTGCACATATAGAAGGGGGCTAAGTCATTTTTCTGAACAGGTGGGCTAAAATTGTGGGCCTCTGAAACAGCAAGTGCACTGAAGTGAAGCAACCATTTTTAAAAAAGCCTATCGACCACAATTATAAAATTAAAATTTCTTTGTTGGCTTGTTAATGTTACACAACAAGGTTACAAAGAAAGCAGTTGTTGAATTTGCTTGCTTCATTCGGAAAAAAGTTATGACTGAGAACATTTATTTTTTATTTACAGCTGAAGTGCAAAACAATTTCACCGAGATGCTAAAGATCAGAAACATCTTTGTTTGAGAGAAAACTTAATCCAAAAGGAAGCTTAATTATTATAGGGGATAGTGGGACAACCTAAAGCTGATTTGGTGGTGGAAAGCCCCCACATCCTCCTAATTCATGGGCAAATTCAAAAGGGAAAAACACTATATATGGCATTTGAGAAATTTGTGGGGAAAGCTTGGACCAGGCATGCTGCTGGTACAGACTCCTTGTACACAATTTGGCAGAGCAAAGATTTATTTTGCAATGCAGTTCATGCACCACTGGCAATTATTAGTGTTGGAACATGACACTTTTTGGATTGTGCAAAAAGAAAACTCGGGCAGAGTCTGCTGAAGCATTTCATAAGGGACATTCTCCTGGTGAGTTTAGTTTGAGATTCATGTTCAACAATCTTCCTGTATTGACACAGGGGCATCATGGGTCGAATCTTGACTAAAATTGTTAAATTTTAGCTTCACTAATTCCAATAGGCCTCAAGTTCAACCAGTGTGCTAGTCAGGATTCAATCCCATGTGTGAAGTGTAAAACAAAATGAAGCTTTGGACAGGGGGAAACTACTAGCAAGAGGAGGAGTAAAACTGGAGGAGTAAAAGTCTGCTTCAAATGTACATGTTTGTAGACTGCTCATGCAACAATTTATGATGATCCAACTTCATCCTTGCAGAACAGATGACACTCTTAGAGCGTAGGAAACCAGATTTGTTGGGTGATTGTGAGAAAGTCATAATTTATCTCAGGCTAAAGTGAGAAACTCAAGCATACCATCCTGACCTTTGAAGGCTGGTGGGTAAGCTGCTGAATAATTCTGCAAACAGCATGTTGCAGTAATTCACAGGTAACAATTTGCAAGTGGGAAAGGCTGTCAGCTATAGGTTCCCCTGCCATTATTATGAAAACACACTCAATTAGATTAGTACAATGGGTGATCTGCTCATTCAGAGTCTGCAATAAAAGGATGCTGTTTCAATTAACCCTGATGAATCCTGGGAGTCTGGAATTAGTATTAAAATCTGGAGGCTATGGGTGGTTGCCTGGTGTTTTCAGTGAGCTAATCTCCCAGCTGTTTGCTGGTCTGATTTACTCAATGTAAATCTTAGTGCTTCTGAGTAGTGCCATTCAACTTGCTATATTACTCATCCAACAATTATTCTAGAATGTGTCATATGAACAACACAATCTAAAGCTACACTCTTATGCAAACTTTTCAGACAGTAAACCCCATTGAAATCAGCAGGACTTACTTCTGAGTAAACACACAGAGGATTGTGTTGATGATGCTACATATTTAAGAAAGTGGGAACTACAGTATAAAATATACTTTGGACCCTAAAGAGGGCTGTGGTTAAAATTGTGGGCAGAAATAATTTTAAAAGCAAACTGCAGTCTTCCACCCTTTCCTTATTTTGTTAGGAGTTTTGCACAGGCAAATGGAAATAAAAATGATAATTTGTTTGACTTTGTTCACATATTTCTTGCATTCCTAAGGAGTGTCCCAGTAGTGTCACCCCAGCATTGTTTATAATGAAAGATTGGAGGAGGGCATACGTACTAAAGTTAGGGAAACTCACTGCTTTGTTAACTGCAGGCAGCAGAATGCCCACATGCTCTAAACTCGAACAGGGTAAAAGAATCATGAAATCTAACTGCTTCAAGTATATGTCCACCTAAAACTCTAGCAAAGGGATGCTGAGCTGGCATTTGCAGGGAACTGTTAACTAGTGAAGCAGAGACATCACGCTTTGTAAAGAAGGATGAGACAATGAGAACATAAACTTACCATCAGAGGACATCAATTCATCAATGATATCGCTGTTAATTATTCCTACGAACACAAAAAGCAAATTCATGGCTATCCACATAGACAATAAGATCAAATTGGCTAAAAAACGTTATGAGGCTTTTATATTTCCAGTTGGCATGTGCGGTTAGTCAAGTAAACGAGTTAGCTAGCTACAGGTATTTAAGGCTCCTGAAATTTTCCATGGTCTTTTAATATTTCATGTACAGTGGTACCTCCGGTTGCGAACAGGATCCGTTCTGGAGCTCTGGTTGGCTCCCAAGGAATTCACAACTGGAAGTGCCGCTTCTGCGCATGCGTGCACGGCGAAACCCGGAAAAATACTTACGGGTTTGCTGCGTGCGTATCCCGAAGGATACGTAACCGAAGGTGAACGTAAGTAGAGCTCCCACTATAGTCTACTCTTTGGTATCTCTAGTGAAATGGAAATACAGATTGGCTTAACACCCAGCATGATTCTCAAGTTACAGGATTCAGAAAATTGCAAAACAAAATGCCAGGTCAGTTATGAAGAGTATTTTGTAAATTACCATGCACACCTCCTGTTTAGCCTACCCTGGAGGGGTAGCTAGGAGACAATCAAGTACTCCTTTATAGTATTTTCATAATAAAACATGCTTAGTTTTTATGTACAGTCAGCCTTCCCCAAACTGGTGCCCTCCATATACTCTGGATTACAACTCTTATCATCCCATACCATTTCCACCAAAACCTTTTGAACATCTGCTTCAGCACCTCACAAAACAACTACAAAAGCAAAGATACTCTCCTCGAAATACAGCCAATGTTAAGACAGTAAAAAAATAAAAATCCCACAGCTCAACATTGTCACCAAATAGCACTGGGCTGCTTTCTTTTCCTGTTTTACGCTTCAGGACACCAGCAACTGTCCTCCCCCCCTTCAAAGTTATAATCAAACGAAGTATGTAATTTACCTCCAGGCTCATCCATCTTTGCAATGTCAAACGCATTCGGCTTCAGAATACTGTTTACGTCCAGCGGAAGGAAGGACTGGCAGGTATTTGAGCTAGGTGTAGTTTCTGTTATAAGGCTGTTATACAGCTCAGAATCTGGAATGTCATCATACACAGTTTCAGGAGTCTGGCTCTCCTGCAAACTGATGTCTACAGGGTGGGAAAGTTCACATTAGAAATCAACAGTATTAGTTCAAAGCAAATTTCTGGAACACAAGATTTCTGATACAGGGACAAACAAGCTCACATTTTAATATTGGCATGCACTTGCTTTTAGTGATGCTAATGGGAATAGCAAAAATATGTCTAACTAATTCTTAATACATGGGTTTTGCTGCTAGATTTTAGAACACTCACATGTAAGCATTGTCTTCCACCCACAAATCCTTAGCTCAACCTGCCCCCCCTTTATATTTTTAATTTGCTGCTAATTGAGAAAAGGGGAAATCACTACCTGCTGATATATCTGTGACTGGTGGTATCCGTGGAAGGGATTGACCCTGATGAGGAGGATCTCTAGACTCCAACTTTTGAGGATCTACATTCACTTTAGGAGAAATCAATGGAGCTGGCAACTGAGATGGAGGTTGCATGAGGTCATCTGGAGGAGGTACCGGAAAAACCACTGGCTTTGACAAACTGGACTCTTTGTTTATAAGCAGCACATGGATAGGCCCCAAATGACTCTTCAGATTGATCTGGTATTTGTTTTGTCTCTTTAGAAAGGAAGCAAAGTTAAAAGGTAAAGTCACCATCCTTTATGGCAGTAGGCTTAGCAATTAAGGCAAACTGGACTGAAGTAAAAAAAACAAACGGGACAAGTAAAAAAAAAATGCAGGTGAAAGCTGTGTACTGAACAGATGAGAATGTGCTAGTTGAGAAGTTGAAATCATAAAGAACGACAATACAAGTACACAAGTATACCTCCTCACCTCTAATCTACATCATAACCCAACATATCTTCACATGGTCAAGCTGTTTGGAAGCTAATTGCACACTGAACGCGCATCCTGTCTCAGAACTGCATCAAAATTTCAGTGAATGTTGCTGCTGCCTGTAGTGATAATGCTTTTGCTTTATACTAGTGATGCGAAACCTCTGGCCCCCGAGCCTAACCAGGACCGCCAGAGCTTCCCATTTGGCGCATGAAGTCATTTGAGCCAAGCTGCAACCACCTATCCTTCTCCTGGTGTCATATGACATCAGGTGAGGGACAGGCAAAGTCATGGCTTCAAATAGTGCCAAATTCAAACCATTCAGAAGGTAATGTTCTGGGTTTATTGGAAATTTAGATGGCACCACTCACTAATTCTCTCTTGGATCAGGATGTGAACACTCATTTGGAATAGTGGTCAATTTCCTCCTTCCAACTGCGACAAAAAGCTATTTGTATGACTTTTGTAGCAGCAAAGGAAACTTGAAACTAAAAATGTGGAGCAAGTATTTCCTCCTGGAAATTCTAAAAAAAAACCCCAAACCTCTATTGTGTAAATATGTTTCACTCAGACTCAGCATAAATAACTATCGGTAATTTAATAGTTGAAGTGATGAATGCTGCATGTTTCAAAGAAACATAAAAAAATAACAGATGAGAACACAAACTAGGTATACTATTCTTTGCTATTAATTTAGCAAGTTTATTCTGTAAGCACAAGCCCCAGTTAGAACATATACACTACTTGAGTCCAAAACTTTTTTTTAAAAGGAATTATTAATATTTGCTAACCACACAGATTAAAAGAGCTGTTTATACATACCATATGAGGTACAGGAACTTCTAACTGTGTGCCAGAAGGAGCCTGAATTGCTAGTAGTGTATCCCCTGATTGTGGAGTAATTGTCAAGTGTTAAGCTGAATGCATGCACACACATTCCTGGATAGTATACAGGGAGGTTTTGTTTTGTTGTTTTGTTTTGTACTGGCTGAAGGACATGGCCAATGGGTCATGAAAACATGTCAGAATAAATATACAAAATAAAATTCAGCATACTTGCAAAGGGTTACATGATCAAATAAGATATGCTATATTTCAGTGTGGGGAAAAACAGTACAGGATGGCTACACTGTATAAAGAGAAATCATGTTTTTAATGGAAGAAAGTCTTAAGTGATCGTAAACTGGCCATTTCACTTCCCCATATTCTACCAGCTTTATTTTCCCACCCCTATTGCACACAAAAATCTGGTGCTATCTTTGCTTTAGCACATTTACTCTGAAATCAAGGGCCACTGTATTCACACAGGGCTTACTTTCTCGTGTTTTAGGATTGTAGCTGAAGTCCAGGTCTACCTAAAGCAGGGGCAGAGAATATGCAGCTCCCCAGGTGTTGTGAAGCTGCAACTCTCATAAACCACAGCCAGCATGGCTAATAACTTTAGCACTAGCTGATAAGAGGACCATATAGTGAACACAACTGGGTTTTCTCCTGACACCATTTAACAAACATGTCAAACTTCTCAGCAACTTACCGTTGAAGCAGTCACAAATGTCTTCATGAGTGATGTATGAAAAAGTGGTCTGTGTCAAGGAAAGTTTCAAAATAACATGATACTGCTGACCTTTTTCAAGTACGTTTTAGGAAATTTACCAGGCTAGTTAGGTAGTTCTGTTTCAATATTTTGCCTGTCATACCCTGGACTAGTAACTGAAATTGCATAGTTAAAAACACATTCATTTTAATTATTAAACAAAATTTATATACCATTTGATTGTAAGAAAGCAGCTCTAAGTTGTTTAGCAAAAAGCAGCCTCTGCCCATTTTATATCTTGGGTATTAAAAAGTCCCATTAGCCTGAATCCAAAGGTGCTGTTGCATGAATGGAAAAAAAAAATTCTGTTCAGACAAGTCACCCAGTTCACTGCTGCCTCAAAAAAGGACTCGGTGGATGAGGGACGATCTGGACCAAGATGCAATATGGTACAGAGGGCTGCAGCAGTGGGGGAGTAAATGAAAAAGGAAGCACTGCCTTGTATGAGAATGCTTTCCATTCTTGAAACAGCACCTGTGAATACGAGACTTCTGTGTAAACATTGAATGGGATCCAACTGGTAGCTAATGCTAAGCTAATGGCCATGTATGGAATTTTGCCTCCTGATGGGCATTTCACTTCCCTTATTAATCCACTAAAGGTCTATGTTCCCACAACTCATTTTGAATAGCAGACAAAAATTAGTATCAACTGTTGTCAAACCCCTCAAAACTCCCATTTGAGAAAATGCCCATCACTTATTCCATCTCCATTTTCTGTGTTTCACAAAGGCACAGCAGCAATAATTCCATCTGCAAGAATTACACAGCATGTTTCAAAGGATATCATTTATTTGTGGAATCTTCCTTGACATTTTTTATGCTTTGCTGTAACCACAGTTTCTGCTGATCCAGCTCCTTTTCTTTTAGCTCCAATTCTTCAATTTCTGCTTCAAGGTACCTCAGTCTATCTACGACTTCCTTCGTATTGCAACCAGCACCTACACCTCTTAAGAGAGCGCAAAAAAATTCAATGCTACTGTAAATGAGTAACAAAAAGGCAAAAGTAGAAAAGATATCATAGCAGCAAAAAAATTAATTCTATAAATAGTGTAATATCAATTAAGTTTAAATTGCATTTTGATTCTGTATGATATGAGTAGGAAGGCATTCAAAGGTTGCGCACAAGAGAGACAATCCATCTCTTTTTTGGGTTTTCATGTGTGATTTTCTGCTGAACTGTGGAGCCTCTGTTGCCTGACCACCAATGAAAGGGTTTGCATTTGTGGCAAAATATACTTTCAGGTCCTGACAAACAACTGCTTGGAGACTAGTGTCTGCAGAGAATACAAAAGCTGGTATTGCTGACATACATTGTTTTAATTACATATATACCTTATTTTCATTACATAAATACCTAACAATGATAACATTCATCTGTGAAGGAAAACAGCATTCTGTATTTCTATGTAAGAAAATTAAAAATCAGTTATCTTACTTCCACTGGATGCTGTTTTTTGACTTTTTTTCTATGAGATCTATCCCTTCCAAAACATTGGTGATGTCGTAGATCCGCCTTTTTTGTCTTACAGCAAGTGTGTCGGCAGCCTGGTAAGATAAAGAATAATTTATGCAGATGAAGGGCAAAAGGGGAGGCTCATTAGACAGCTTCAGTGAAGCTGTACAAGCCTCCTAGAGAATATTAATCACAAGCCTAAAAGGGTAAATCTTCAACCTGCCACAGTCACAGATGCACAATTAGATGTGTTAGACCACCCTCTCTGACTCTTGGGACAGGGACAGTAACCTTCAAGCAAAATGCCTAAAAGAATGACCTCCTTAAAACCTGTCCACAGAATTCCACACATGGGAATGAGTTCTTTCAGAATTAGCCATGCATGAGAACAAGGGAAATGGTAAGTGGGACTGAAAAGACAACATGCTTTTCTTGAGCAGGATGTAAAGGAATAATCTGTCATTTCATTTCTAAAAATGGGAACAAGATTTGTGGAAGGGAGTAGGATGACAATTCATTGTATCAAAGGAAGATAGGCTTCTTAATGTCATTTATGGAAGAGCAGTGTTATGGGGTTTGCTATCATTCCAAAATATAATGGCAATGGTTAAGACTGAACCTCAGTAACGAACACCACCAAACAAATGAAATCATGGACCTTCTGAGTAAGAGAAGTAATGAGATAAAAAGGGGGGCGGGAAATCAGGGATGCTCAAGAGGGATGCTCAAGAACACTTTATGTTGTTGAACTGTTGCTGAAAGCGATAGCATTAAGAGTAAAATTTAACCTGCAAGTAACAGCCAACGTGATTAGCAGCCTAAGCTCTGAGCCTCAAATTTTTGCATTGGCATGGGTCCAAGACTTACCAGTGTAAATTCTTTAAGGATCAAGCTGCCTGAAACTTCCAGCCCCTGCTCATATTGCACCAGAGACAAATTTCACTTAAATATTTTTGTGTGTGAAAGACCCCTATTTTGCTTCACCCCCTAATCCAGTTGTTCATTAACCCACACATATACATATACACTTTTTGGCAACAATGAAAAACACATTTTTCAACTGTAGCTTTTTCATCCACATCTACCAGCAAAGAAGCTGTTACTTTGATCCAACCTACAACCATCAATTAAGGTGAAGGTAAAGGACTCCTGGACAGTTAAATCCAGTCAAAGGCGACTATGGGGTGCGGCACTCATCTCGCTTTTCAGGCCGAGGGAGCCAGCGTTTGTCCACAGACAGCTTTTCGGGTCATGTGGCCAGCATGACTAAACCGCTTCTGGCGCAACGGGACATTGTGCTGAGTACCAGAGCGCACGGAAACGCCGTTTACCTTCCCGCTGCAGCGGCACCTATTTATCGACTTGCACTGGTGTGCTTTCAAACTGCTAGGTTGGCAGAAGCTGGGACAGAGCAATGGGAGCTCACCACTGTCGCATGGATTCAAACCGCCGACCTTCTGATCGGCAAGCCCAAGAGGCTCAGTGGTTTAGACCACAATGCTACCTGCGTCCCCTAACCACCAATTAAGGGCTTCCTCTCCAAATTCATGCTTATATTTGATCATTCAACACTAAAGACACAATCCTAACCACAAAATTAACATTCCGCTTTCCATTAGTCCAGCTCCGCTGGAGGGATGTGTGCAGAGAAACCAGACTTTTGCATAGTTGGAATGAAACCTACTGTACAAAGCTAAGAGTTACATTTATTGCACTTCCCACTTTTGCCTCTGGTCCATCCACTTCTGATACAAGCCTTTTTGCAATGTTCCCCATAAGGAACTTCAGCTCTTGGGTTGAAAAACATTCCTCATTCCTGCTTTAATTGGAGGGAAGATGGAATCTTAATGTGGCAATGTGCACCTAAGACCTAGTTTGTACACTCAAAGATCATTTATTTCCCCAAGGTGGAGTGGATGCACAAGCTCCCCTCATCTTGCACACATGTAAACCCCTACATAAGATATCCCTCCCCCTATCCCCCTTTTTAAAGGGGAAGGCATGTACATTCCATTGGCTCCAATGAAGTTAGCTAAATTTAAATCCCACTGAAATCTTCAGTACATCTAACTTAGACTAGATCCATCCCTTTAGGTAAATATAAGGAGCGCTCATGTTACATGCCCTTTATGCTGAGTGATCGATGGAAGAAGGTGAACACGCATGCTATTCTGTCACGAAAAAAGGGACTTTATTTGGGCAAGTGTATGAATCTGCCCTTTGTTGGAGTATAATTATTATTATTATTTTTTTAAATGATATTTATTGAAAATTTTAGAATTACAAAAGAAAACAAAAAAGAAAAAGAGAGAGAAAAAACCAAGAAAAAACAAACCACAATCAAACAATACAAATTAATAGAAATCAAAATCAAAAAATAGCACAACACGATCAAAAAACAAAAATATACCACAAACATTTAAAAACAAATCCAACATTCTTAAATCCTTAACTGTCATTACCTTCTTTCTTTGACCTCCTCCTCCTCCCTTTTTTTGTATCCTAGTTGTTAATTGTCGCAGCAAATCCTTTCCATATTTCATAATATTCTGTCATTACATTACCTTAATCTATTTTAATCTTATCTTACTATAAAAAACCTTAAAGCTTAAAACTTAGATCTTATTTTTACCAATTTCTCATAACCATAATATTCTTACATAATTCTTTAAACATTTTTGCTAAAGCCAAATAATTTCGTTCCAACATTTTTCTAACATTCATCAATTTTATAAAACAGTCCTAATAAAAAAATGAAAAACAATCCAATCTTCATCCAGCATCTCTTCCTCCTGGTCCCAGGTTTTGTCAGTCCTTTCTATCCCATCAATCTAGCGCATTAACCTGGTAATCTTATGTCCGAGGCCCTTGAGTCCCTTCCATGTCCCTTCCGCGGCTCTTCTTCATATTTATAGCTGTATTTTCCTTTGTCTGCTCCTTTCACTCGTGGGAACTCCAGCTTGACAATGTTTTTGACCCTTCTCGACAAATCAGCCCCTTTTCCATAGTCCACACTAAACTCCATGTGGTATTTAAGAACATGTTTCAAAGTCCCTCCAAAATTAAGAGCCCCCACAACCCCAAGCATCTCACGGCCCATTGCCAGACTTGAAAAGTCCAAACATCCCTGCATAGGGGGGTCTATCCAACCCCCCATTTCCAAACCAAACCAAACTTTATCTTTCCAAATCTGGCTTTACCAAGTTCATTTGTCAAATCCAAGAACTCATGTTCCTGCTGGGCCACAGCTCCCTCCATCTCTGGCGCCCAAGATTCAGCAACATCCTCTTCCCTCATCTGTTCTGTCAGGGCACACTCCTGATTTGATTCCTGGGTGGGCTCTATATAATTTCCCACTGCCTGTCCAAAATTTCTGATCGCAGCAGTCATCAAGTCCGTCTTCTCATGTAGCTGTTCCAGTAGGGCACTTGTTTTACAGAAAGCACACAGCAGAGCTTCTGAATACATTGTCCTGCAAGGTCAGAGGTCTATTCCCACGATCGTAATCTGTAGCAGCTGCAAGCTCCCCGATTCAGAATTGGTTACAGTTTCACAGGCTCCCTCTAGGGGAAAAACTTCTATTTGTTCTTTTCTTTTAAAGACAAATCTAACAACAAGGTTTCCTTTTTCAGATATTTTGTCAATATTTGTTCCTTTAAAGTGCGAAAGGGAACAATGGAATCACTATGTTTCTCTTCTTTTAGCTATCTGTCAAAAACGTTTGTCTCTGGTCAATGAGCTTCAAAAAACGTCAGTCCTGACACCCCGCTCCAGGATCAAGACGGTGGAAAATTACTTTGCTTTACTCTCACTTCTGCAGGTTTAAACAGTCCGGGGAAAAAAACACCCTCTTCTCCTGCTTCCGAAGGGGGTTGAACAATTTTAAATGATGAAATTTAATCCTTTACAAGCGATTTTCTGAACTCTAGTCTGCCATGTCTTTGCTTTAATCTATCTACAAGAAACGGAAGGCTGACTTCCTGTTTAGACCTTCCCGTTTCAGTGCCAAATTGAAGTAAACCTTTAAGTCCAATTTTCCTTTCTACTCGCAAATCCTTATTTAGAGTCCAATTGTCCGAAATTTAAGTACTCACGGGTGATTGTTTTAAAAGCCAAATTGTCCCAGGAAAAAAGGCAGCGCTCTCCGGCAACGGCTGTGCGGCTTCGCTCCACGGAAGAAGCAATTGACTCTCAGCACCGCGCCACTTCCCCCTCTCCGCTCCGGAGCCCGTTAGTGGGTTCCTTTGCGGGTTGGGGAGGCGCTAAAGGTGCCCGCCGAGTCCCATGGTCACAGGCTTCATCCGCCTGTGATTTTTGAAAGGGTCCCCGCTTCGCCGTAGCGGAAAAGACCCATTTCCCGTGGAGCTGGTCCCTCCAGATCAGAGGGAGTCCGCCATTACCGATGGCGCCACCCCGGAAGTCTTGTTGGAGTATAATTATAGTTGTGTTTACTTTACCCAGCTGAATACAAATGTCAGCTGAATTACTGAAAATAACCTTCATTATGTAGTGCAAGAGCAAAGAACCAATCTACTTCGCTAGCAAAATTATTCTGGTAGGTTGATCCCAGGCAAGTTTACTTGAACACAAGCTTAAAAGAACTAGCTGGAGCTTATTTCTGGGCAAGCCTGCATAAGTTTACATATTGCTGTTTCTGTATGTGTATAGGGGCGGGGGTTATTGTTGAACCTGAATCTGTTTTTAATTAAGTGGATTACAGACCTTTTGTTATAGGGGACAAATAAAATAAGGAGTAGCAAGTTTACCAGAACTCTGGAGCAACTACACAATTTATTGCAACTCACCTCGGCGGAGGTTGCTAATAGTTTAATAGCAGTTTTAAATGTTTTACAATCTTTGCCTTGTATATTTGCTCAACAGTTCTGGGAAAGAGATCATTGTTATCCTCACAGAAATAGGTGGCAGTTTGCCATGGGCCGTCAATGGAATGGAGAACTGAATAGGAATTTGAACCCGTGTCCAATTCCAGGCCTGGTGCCAGTTGATTACAATTCCCCTATAAGCGGTTCAATTAAAACCCCTCAAAATCTCTCTCCAAAAAAAGTGCTTCATTTTTTGCCACAATTATTGTTATTATTAATGATTAAATTTGTACACTGCCCTATACCTGGGGTAACTTGCTCAACGTGGCTTAGCCAATGCAAGTCCACCAGAACCGGCTTCCTGGTGGTGGGATCGGCCAGAGGATACTTAAACTGGATCCTAACACTGTTCAGCTCAGTCACGTGACTTGGCAACCTGGCGGAACTTACACTGACAAAATGGGTGGTGTGAGTCAAAATCTATTTTGTTTTCCCTCTGGCAGGCTTGGGCCAGCTCAGGTGGCAGTAGCCGGGCTCTCGAACGGGGTTGGATCTGGCACAACTTTATGTTCGCCTAACTTAAGCCAGTGTAAATTACAGTGGCTTGCCATAGTTAGGACTACCCACTTCACATAAGATTCTGCAAGTTCCCCACTTAGATTATAGAAGAAAGCAGGATTCAAGCCAAACTTCTCCAAGGGATTCACTCTATAGCTCTTCTGGTATTGATTGTTCCTCAATATGTAATACAGTGGTACCTCGGGTTAAGTACTTAATTCGTTCCGGAGGTCCGTTCTTAACCTGAAACTGTTCTTAAAGCACCACTTTAGCTAATGGGGCCTCCTGCTGCTGCTGCGCCACCAGAGCACAATTTCTGTTCTCATCCTGAAGCAAAGTTCTTAACCCGAGGTACTATTTCTGGGTTAGCGGAGTCTGTAACCTGAAGTGTATGTAACTCGAGGTACCACTGTACCAATGAACTCTACTGCTGAGCTACACCTCCGTTTCTCCTACTCACCCTAAAAAACAAGCTCAATGAATCCAACTCCTTCTAAAAAGCCCCACCAGCCATACGTCTCTCCAATCCAGATAGGCTATAAGAGTTCAGAAGTTACACACGCTTCTACTTAAAACCTTCCCCAGGATATATAAAGGGGAAAGGGTGCTCTATACAGAGTTGCTGTTGTTATTATTATTATTATTATTATTATTATTTATACCCCGCACATCTGGCTGGGTCTCGCCAGCCACTCTGGGCAGCTTCCAACAAAATATTAAAATAAAATATTCTATTAAACATTAAAAGCTTCCCTCCACATGTTTCAAGAACGCAGGAAGGGTCATGTCCCCAACATTTCCACCAGCTTGTCTCGACATAAGTAGGCTTCTGTGCACAATGGGATAAAGAGCACATATTGGGCAAATACAAGTTTTTAAGGGGCAAGCTATAGGATGAGCAAGTGCAGCGGTTTTCAGGACTGGACTTAGACTAGAGTTCAAATCCGTACTCAGCCACAAAAAAACTTATTGTGCACCTTTGTCTGTGGGAGAAAAGAGCAGGGGCTACTCCTACTGCCCACAGCTCCTTTAGAGAAGTAGACTCTTAATCGGAGGGTCAGGGAATCGAGACCCACGTTGGCAAAAAGCTCCTGCATTGCAGGGGGTTGGACTAGATGACCCTCGTGGTCTCTTCCAACTTTATAGTTCTAGGTTGGGGCAACCGAGAAGCGTGTTCAGGCGCTGGCAACTAGGAGGAAACACAGAGCATCAATTTGAAGCAACCGAGCTCTAAACCGCTAAACCCACCTAGGGGCAAAAGCAAAAGCAAATACGCCAAAGCCTGCAGAAAAGGGGTGAGTTATTAAAAAGGTGCCTACTCCCAACATGGAACTTTCCCCCTCACCAGATCCCAGTCCAGAGATCCTCCCGCTGGATCCCTCAAGGGCCATCGCACCCCACGTTGTGTGTGTCTCTCTCACGCACACGCACACGCACGCCCCTCCCTCAGCGCCCGGATCCCACCCGCAGCGCCTGGACCGAAGCCCCCCATCTCCCCCTCACCGCTTTCAGGTCGAGCACGCCGTCCTTGGCCTCCTGCAGGAGGGACACGAACTTGGTGGTGAGCAGCCCCAGGCTCTTCTCATGCCGGCTGCTGTTGCTGCTGGCGCCCCCGGTGCCCGCACCGCCTTCCAGGCTCCCCACGCCGCCGCCATGGCTACTGGAAACCGACTCGGGCAGCGCCACCGCGGCCATGCTGCATCCCCCACCCCACCCACCTCCTCCGGCGGCCCCACGTGGCCCTCCCTCCGGGCTTGCCCTCTCTCCGGCCGCGAGGGAGCCCGGCTGGTCCCCGCGCGGAGCAGCTGCCCCGCAGAGACACAAGAGCGAGCCCTCGTCCTTTTCTCGCCCACCGCCGGCTGGCCTGCAAGGGAGAGGAAGTGACGCCGCCCGCGCAGTTGCCGGGAGACAAAGTTTTGTGTAGGGAAGAGCGAGAGGAAAGGGGGCAGCTGCTCCTTTCCCGAGAAGGTGGAGCCTGAGGGGAGAGAGTTGCGGGGGGGTTGCGCCCCTCTCTCGACCCCCGGGGGGAAACGAAGCAGCAAACGGGGCGGGGAGGGTGGAAAAGGCGCCTTCGAAGCGCCCGACAGTGGTGTTTTCACTCACTCGGGGACTTTTTCCGCGCAAAGTTGCGCTGCGCGAGGCACGGAAGCGCGCGCTTGAATTCCGCGCGGCTCCCCTCCTCCCGAGCAAACTTTTCCTGGGGCGACGCTAAGCAGCCCAGACTCCAGCATGATGATCAGCCCTCCTGTCTTTCCGCCCGGAAAGTAAAGCAACGACGACAAGCCAGGTGGCGGCTTGAGTCCCAGCAGTCACTTTCCTTTGGTTCCCGTTGCGAAACTCCCTGCAGGTGGTGGGCGGCGGCGGCGCTTCCGCGCTCCAGGCTTGGTGGGGTTTGAACTCCCCTTTTGCTGCTGCTTAGCCATTGCCCAACCAGGTTGCTGTTGTGACTGTGTGAGAGCAGGAAAGGTTGCCCAGGGTGGTTGACCTTTTTTTAGGGAGCTTGCATCGCGCTTACACATTATCTCAGTACCTTGTGGCAGTAAACTCTCTCTATTCCCATAGGTTGAAACCACCACAACCAAAATACCCCACCCCCCAAAAAAAACCCATGCCTTGCAAACAGAAAACTTGCACACCAGGGAGAAATGCTCAGATGGAGACTTTAGGTGATGCTGGTTTCCTACCTGCAGGGAGTCATTTGTTTTAATGATTTTAAAAGAGAGGCGAACATTTAGTTCCTGCTGCAGGCTTCCCATGCCTGATCCAGCAGGGTTCTTGTTTATAAACTCTGGCTTTTTCAGTTAAAAGGGTCAGATGGTAACTAATGGAAAGCTATTACCAGCCAGAATAGACAATACAGGGCTAAATGGACAAACAGTAGTATCTAGGGGGGGAAACTATGTTCTCCACTTTATTAATGCAATATTAAGGTGCCAACTTATTATGAAGTTAACCATTTCTGGTCCCTGGCCCAGATTCTCCAGAATAAACTGACCCCTTTGATTGCATGCTGCCACCCCTGAGTTTCAGGAATGGGGGAAACCAGAGTTAGGCAAGCAAAGAGGCTTAGTAATCAGATGTCACATTTCTCTCTTACAATTTATTTTAATGGAGGTTTTCTGGTTGGATCTCTCTGCATCTAGCATAAATATGAACATTACAAGTAAACACAACAGCAACTGATCCAAAGATCTCCCGTCAAAACCCAAACACTCCTTAGTAGTACATTTACAGAAATAAAAAGCATCTCCCTTATCAAACTGAACGTATATACCACTGCAACCTTTTTAATGAAAACAATACAATGGTCAAGTTGCTAGTGACTTTTGGCAAAATACTTGCAAGAATGTTTCTCAACCAATAATTCATAATGTTTAATTTGATTATAACTGCATTTCTAAAGATGTTCCAAGTCACCCAGGCTGCACAGGTCAGAGAAAAAAGTACTTTCACACTTTCTGTTAATGAGAGGCTTTCTTTGTTTGCAGAAACCATCCTGTTACGTTCACAAATGGGGCAAGTTCTCATGGGTGCTAAAACTATTTTGCTTCTTGATCTTTCAGTCTTTATGAAAACAGATGTTGGGAGGAAAGCATCCTTAATTTCCTCAGCCAACATAATTTATCTCCACATGAAACAAGCCCCAGAAAACCTAAAAGTGGGAAGCAAATACACACACACACAAACAATTGTTGCAGTTTTGATTTCCAGGCAGACCTCCTTAAGATCATAAAATTGTCCCTTTAGGAACTGGGTAATATAACTGCAATGTCTGAGTTGAGGAACAGAATAGATTAGGTAACATGGAAGCTTAGACATTTCCCTTCATTTAAAAAAATCCTTATTGCTAGCTTCAAAGGAAACCCTATAGGAAAGGTTAATTGCTACTAAAAGACCAGGGTAGACACCAGTGTGTGCACACATCTGCCGAAGGTTGCAATATTGGCGGCCACATGTCACAAAGTCAGATATGAACATGCCCAGATCCTGACTTTCGTTGACTGGACAATGTGCATTGCTGACACATGGAGCTGCCTTTTACTGGGTCAGGCAACTGAGCCAATGTGGTTGTACTGGTTGTTACAGTGTCGGATTAGGGCCTGGGAGACTAGAGTTCAAATCCCGACTACCACAAAGCTGCTTAGTCCAGTCGCTCACTTTTCAGCCTAACCTGCTCACGAGGTGGTTGTGGGGATTAAAGTAAGGAGGGGGTGGAATAATGTAAGCCACCTTGAGCTCCATAGAGAAAAATATGGAGTATAAATGCAGTCAATAAATTTAGCTCAGTATTGCCGGCACTGGCTGGCAGCAACTCTAGGTTTACAGGCAGGGGTCTCACCCAGCCCTGCTTGGAGATGCCCTTGGGGATTGAACCAGGGACCTTCTGCGTGCAAAGCAGATGCTCTGCCCCTGAGCTACAGCCCTTGCTTAAAAGCAGTGGTAAGATGCTAGTCCTCATGGCTCCAAAGAAAGGGCTGAATTAAGTAGGAACACAAGAGGCTGTCATTTATCAGTCAGAACATTGGTCCATCTAACTCAGTATTGCGATATTCTCGGCAGTAGCTCTCTCGGATTTCAGGCAAGGGTCTCTCACAGCCCTACTTGGGAACATCTGGGATCGAACCTGGAACTTTCTGCTTGCCTGGTGCCCCTGAGAGCCCGTCGCCCGGTTGCCATGCACCCCCACGCCCGTGGTTAAGACGGCCCTGTGTGTGAGCCTTCATTGCTTATCTTGGCCTCACACTTAGCAGAAATAAAAACACCCTGAGGAGAAGGGTATCTTGTGTCCCAGAGTGCTATGTTGTGCTGCGAGACAGTGGTTTTGAAGAGCATAAGAAATTTCAGACACCTGCCACTCCAGTCAAGAGTGGAAAAAGTAGGTCAGTTGCTGGATGTGATGCTGTTGCGGCCATCCCTCCTGGCTTGGTATCCCGCAAGATACAGCAGTGGTTCCACAAGACCATATTTCTCACTTCCCCATATATAGGATTCTTCCTTTCAGCACTATGGCAGAGAGCAAAGACCACTTTTTAAAACCTCTCCAAGTTTCCGAAAGTTATTCAAGCCTTTGAATCGCCTCTTTAGTAAATCAGTAATTTAAGAAAGGTAACTATTTATTTTGAAAATATTATACATAAAGTGCAGATATAAGTCATGCCAATATGCAGCATTTTTTTCCCCAGAAGACTAACTGAATAAACGGCTAATGTCATAGTTGTGTCCATCAAGGCTGACTATCTTACTGAATTTTGTATGCCTCTACAGGAGTGTCACATTCCCTGTACTTCAGAGCTCCTGCTGAATGTCACTCAAAGCAACTGTCAATCTTTTAATTTTCTCTTCCATGGCCTTTTTACTGCTTGCAGTCTCTTGCAAGAGTTGACGCATTTCTTCTTCAACTTGGTAAACCTGAAATAAAATTTACATCTGTTATAAATGACACCCTTGTGAACTTGTGGTCTGTTTGTGCAATGAAAGATACGTAAAATATAATAGGAACTTACAACATTATTTCTGAAAATATTATAGAAAGGTAGGTAGAAGTTTGAAAATGGCTGAAGAGGTTACATTTGTGAAAGCACCAACATACATTTCATGCAGACTACATAAAAGGTAATGCCTATCGTGCAAAACCTATTACACTTTAAAAAGTTAAATATATACTTTAAATGTATACAATACACAATATATACCTGAAACATTAATGGGTTGCAACCAGGCAAAAGCATACATTCAGCAGCTGATGGAAGCCGACTGCCTTTTCAGACACCTCCCGGCTTAGTAGGATTCCCCAACCCAGAGGTTTTCAACCTTTTTGAGTCCGCAGCTCCCTTCAACCAACTACATTCTCTCTGTGGCATCCCTGCGGGGCTCAGGAGCCCTATTAAATCATCCCTTGCCTGCAGAGCTGGCAGCCTCTCACCCTCCCTTGTTGAGGCCTCCTCTCCTCTCCCCTCTCCTTGGGAGTCCCTGGGTCTCTGAGCTCCCCTCCATTCACCTGTGGAGCTTATAGCCAGGGCTGCTGCAGTAGACAGCTGTGCAAGCCTTTGGGAGGCAGAGGCACGAAAGGGCATCAGAGGGAGGGAAGGAAAGAGGGACAGAGGTCAGTGTTACCCGTGGCACCCCTGAGCATCATTCAAGGCACCCCAAGGTGCCCACAGCACAGTGATTGAAAACCACTGCCACAAACCTTTTTTTTTTGGGGGGGGGGGAGGACATGGGCTACTGGGGAAGACAGCTTGTTCCCAACCTTCTGCCAACCCCCTTCTGTAGGCTTTTACTTAGATCCATTCCAATTTTCAGTAAAAGTTCCTCACAAAGACAGAGGACCACTACCAAGTACCTGCACCCACTAGAGAACACATTCATTCTTGAACTAATTTCACTCAAACTTCCAAAATTTTCTTAATGGGAAATAACGAAAAAAATGGGTCTCTAGCAGCCCTTTCATTTGATTTCTCAACCTTAAGGCCACGTGAATACTATTCAGAAATAGGCAGCAGCCAGCCCATAGAAGCTTTACAGGTTAAGTCTCATCACCTTGAATACAGACTGGGAGTAAATGGTAGTGGGTAACATTGTCAAAAGCACAAATTTTATGTATTTTTTCTGATCCAACTATATCAGAAGGTCGGTCTACACATTGTTAGCAAACAAAAGCTAGTAGATTTATTTGCTTAACATATTTTTTAAAAGTGAAACAACATTTGGGTGCTTTTAGCATTATCTATCACCTTTTCATTTGCTGCTGCAATTTGTTGTTGCTTTTCATTTGCTAGCTGCAGCAACTCTGCTTGATGCGCTGCTAGCGTTGATTCAAGTTGTCTCCGGAAAGCATCATCCATAGAATGCAGCTTTTCCACCACTGCCCTAAACACAAAATGAACTCTTAAACCTTATATCTATATCACTATTATTGGGATATGCATGTTGTGTAGACAACTATTCTCCTATAGTCAGAAAAATATTCTTTACTAAGTACACCCCAGTAACTCGTTCACATATTGTTAGCAGCATTTTCTGACTGGATTTTTTCTACTGTAATCTCAATTCTAGATATTTTGTTACAGAAACCATATTAGCAGAGACAGTGTATGCATACACTAGAAATTTGGAGAAATATGTGAAGGGGAAAAAGCATGCATCTGTTGCAAGTTTAAACCATAAACTTCTAGGATGCCATCCATGCTTCCCATGAACAGAATTCCTCACTCAGGAAGCTCTGCTGAAAGGAAGAGTTTGGGGGGGAGCAGAAGGCAAATTTCCTCACCACCCACATTATTTCAGTTCCTCTGGAGCAGCTGTTAGAAGGCAAAAGGGCCTATAGAGTAAGCGGTAATCAGAAAAAAATGGCTTCCACCACATACTTCCAACCAAAACCTCTATTGGATTGGAATTCCTTCAGTGGAATTCAATGGAAAGAACCCTTTTTATTTTTTCCACAGATAAAACAGAAATGTACTAGGTTTCCACAGGGGAACTCTTTTTTTTTATTACAAATACCAACAGATATTTACATCACCTCCTAGAGTTCATAAAATTGGGCTAAAGAATTGCTTTCAAATTTTGTCAGGCTGCAGGTGGTCCTTTATGAATTTTCAATTTAATTAGGGATAAAAACAAACAGTATTGTAACGACAGTTGTGAGCACCTTTCACCAATAGAAGTTCCAATACGGTGGTACTCGGGTTAAGTACTTAATTTGTTCCGGAGGTCCGTTCTTAACCCGAAACTGTTCTTAACCTGAAGCACCACTTTAGCTAATGGGACCTCCTGCTGCTGCTGCGCCGCCGGAGCACGATTTCTGTTCTCATCCTGAAGCAAAGTTCTTAACCTGAGGTACTATTTCTGGGTTAGCACAGTCTGTAACCTGAAGCGTATGTAACCTGAAGCATATGAAACCCGAGGTACCACTGTATATGCCATACTCCAAATGAAAAGCTTCCCCCAAAGCCACAACCGCCATTCAGGAAAGAAAATTTCTTTCTCTAATTTCTCTGAAAGACACCCTGTTCTGCAAGATCTTTCATGAAGAATACATACACCAAAAATCTGACTGTCTTGAATGAATTCACATTAATACAATCAGAAAGTCAAATATAGCAACTTACTTCTGTGCCTGAATACTTTTATCTCTCTCCTCAGTCAGCTGCTTCTCTTTCATATCAAAATTTTCTTTCATTTGTTTGACTTGTGCTTCCAATTTGCTCAACAATCCTCCTTTATCTTGCCACTTTTTATTCATTGCACTGAAATGTAATGGACATTTTCACAGAAGCTTCAGAGACTTACTCGTACTACAGTGAAAACCATATCCCTACTTTTCAAGTTTTTGTAATGGGAAAAGAAAAGTTACAGCTTCCCATCCTGCCTCAATATGGCCTACTGACACTTTAGCATTACTAATATTAATTTAGCAGCATTTAAGACATTACTAGTTAGTACCTATAAGCTTTCTTGATATCTTCGAGCTCTGTTTCTTTTTCCTGCAACTGCTGTTTGAGTTCCTCTTTCCTCTCATTTTGCCTTTCCAATTTTTCCATGAGATCATCCAACTGAGTCTCTCTTCCCTCTAGTTGCACCTGAAGTCTTTTCTGCATTTCAGTACTTTCTTCACGATGCTTTCTTATCTGCTCATCTCGGTCCTGTGAGGCCTTGAGAACAATTTTATCAATATATTTGCCCTGGACCACAGCTAAAACTTCAAGGTTCAAAGTGGATCAACAGGAAAAACTCTACTTATTCAGTCTCCTATAGTTAAAGGCAGAGGACACTTGCCAGAAAAGAATGGCCATTATACCTCTATCACTGATGGATAACATTTTGAAGACAACCCATGCACAATTGTTGTGCCATTCCTTTGCTTTCCCCTCCTATATCATTACAAGAACCTTTACTGTATTCAATATCTGTTTTCAGGCAAGTTTGTTAAAAAAAAACCAACCCTTACTTCTTTCAACTTTCTAATCGTTTCTGTTTGATCCTCCACTATTTTAGACTTTATCTTCAATGCGTCGTTGTTGCGTTCGTTTTGTTTTCTCAGAGTCTCATTCTCACTAGTTAGTACTTCTATTTTGGCTTCCAGTTTTCCCCGATCTTGAGCAAGAGATGCTCCTGGGGAGGGAGACACAAAACAAAGTCTACCTTTTCAGTGCTGCAGATAATGAAGTTAATTTGTCGTGTTAACAGATTGCAAAGCAATCAAAACCACCCCACTCTTCTCCGTGTCTGAAAATTAACATTGGGCATCCAGGCTTCCTTAAATGCCTCTTTGTTTAGGCTACTGTAGTAACTGTTTGAAAACTGTTAACCTGCTTAGCTTAAGAATGAAAAAGCACACCCAAGTCTCATTAACAGAACAACCTGTTCTTAGTAAATAGTATTTTGGAAATTAATTTCTGGAAAATCATGATACTGCTGGAAGGACACCGAGACACTTTCAGCAGCTCTTATGTGTGTGATACAGGAGCATGCCAGATTGGGAATGAATGCCTCTACTGTGTAAAGCACTGCCAAAACATAAAGCTGTGATGCATTAGGAAATAGATGCAAGCAATGCAGCTACGGAGCTTTTTGCCAGTACAGCCCACTGCAACACCATTAGAATGTAGACACTTTGCATTCTTACAGAGGCTTAACGTGCAGGTTTAAGTTTCACTTTGTTCTTTATCAGCATCCTACCAAAGCAGAATACAGGTATTTACCCTGTTGCGCCAACTCTTGTCCCCATATTTTCCTCTCCGCTTTTAATCCGTCAATTACAGATTCCTGGGCTGTTATCTGTGAAATAAGTTTTGATTTCTCCTGTTTAAGAAGCTCAAGTTGAATAGTCGCCTGCTTATCTTCCTCCACCATATTTTCAAGAGTTCGGATTTGACTCTGGCAAAAAGAAAAAGGACACATGCCATTGTGAAAGAAGGCTTTCACTGTATTTGAAGCTGCAGTGCCATTCAATGTTTCATGCTATTGATTGATAACAGTCTTCTGTGTATTAACACAAAATGCAGTGTACAGAAGACAACATACAAAAGTTAGATAAGCCTATTAATGCATACTCTCAAGTTGTGTGTCGTTTCTTGCTTCGATCTGACTAATTCTGCAATCTTCATTTTTTGTTCTTTAACCATGGATGCCAGCTCTTGGAGTAGGGTGGCCGATTGCTTTTCTTTTTGCAGAGACTGAGCAAGAAGATGCTTATGTTCTGCCAGCTCGGCAGCAACATTGTCAAAGCCTTCTTTAACCTATTTCAGCAAGGGGAAACCAATTGCAAATTATTAGAAAGGTTATTGCTACGTGTGAGTTATTTCTTACTCAATAAAAACTGCAATGTAACTTTCGAATGGACAAGAGGTTAATTTGAAAACACATGACATTAAACACCGAATATTACCTTGCATTTTAGGAATAGAGAGGCTCAGTATATATTCCAAATTAAGAACTAAAAATGGATGCTGAATATCACCAGTTAGCAAAAAAAGAGAAAAGACTAAAAACTATATATAAAAGCTATAGTAAGTTCCTCAATTTAAAATAGAACTGAAATTAATGATAGCATGTAATATCTTAAAACTTAACTTTTAAGCACCTTTTCTTTGAGGATGCGGAAACTTTCGGGAAAAACATCATCAGTCATAATACATTTCTGAGCTGGAGGTGATCCTTTAAGCAGTATATGTTTGCTGAAGGATACTTTCAAGAATTACTTGAATGAACTGAAGGAAGACAGTGGCTAAGCATTTAAAATGAGAGTTCCTTCTATAGCTAAGTCAGCTCTTCTGCAGGCACAGAAAAAGTGTTTGGAGTTGTTTAGGGGCGAGATGTTATGTAACACAAGTGGGCATCTACAAATGCCACAGGGCTTCTTCCTCCTCTCTTCCTGCCTGCAGTCCCCAAAATCTGCTCCAGAGAATTGGAGGATACTGTGCAGCAGATTTTGGGAGCACACAGGAGGGCTGGAGAGGCTTGCCTTGTTGTACAGTGGAACCTTGGTTTTCAAGCGTCTCGGAAGCTGAACATTTCGGAACCCAAACGCAGAAAATCCAGAAGTAATTGCTTCCATTTTTTAATGTGCCTTGGAAGTAGAACTGCTGCCGAGGCGTGTTTTTCATTTTCCCCCATTGACTTTGCAGCCAGCCCATTGATCCTCAGTTTTTGAACGTTTCGGAAGTCAAACAATTTTCCGGAACAGATTACCTTGAAAAACCGAGGTTCCACTGTACAAGCAGATTTCTGTTGCATAAGTGAGCAGCTGTTGCACTAGAATCGGAAAAACAGGTATTTCTAAGAGTAAAATGAGTGTGGGGAGAATGAAGACTAGTTTTATAATTTTTTTAAACTTTATGAAATCACTTCCTATAACACATTACTTAGTTGCTAAAATACAATTATTGTGGTGCGTGTGCAATGTATTTTAGCTTGACACAATTTAGCTTGGCAGTATCTGAAAATTAAAAAATTATATACAACACACTGATTTAAGCCAATAAAAACACAAAGCCTTCAATTTTATGCACACTTACCTGAGAGTAAATCACAGTGGGACTTACTTTTGAGTAGATGTGTCTAGGTTTGCACTGTCAAGTTTCTTAATTTTGTAACTTGACAAGTGCAATCCTATCCACGTCTACACAGAAGCGAGCAGCATTGAGTTCAATGGGATTTGCTCCAAAGTCAGTGTGTACTGCAGCCTGAGTGTATCCTCAAAGTTTGCATAAAGGCACTAATCAATTTTATAGCAGCTAATTAACAGATATGTTTATTTAGTAAAAATTGAATTTATTTATTTATTAAATTTGTATACTGCTCTTCATCCGTAGATCTCAGGATGGTTTACAACATAAAATTACAATATAAAAAACCCCAAAATATATGGATCTTATTGATTGCATTTATTTATTAAATTTATATGCTGATATATCTTCCTCCCAAAGAAACCCAGGACAGCAAACACATGTGTGATAAAATAATGCAATAAAAACAAAAACACAGATAAAATGGAGTTCCAGAGCACAGACTCTTTACAAATGCGGAATGAACCTATTGTTGCAAACGTACTGCTATGAAAAAAGGACAAACATTTCTGTTTTAGCAGAAGAATTCCTAATATAGATCCCCTCATACACTTTCTATTTCTTACCTCAGTAAATCTTCTGGCCTCTATCGTTAATGCAAAACGAAACTCATCCTCTAGATCCTTATACTTTTGGTGCAGCAGAGAATTCTTCCCCTGCAGTTCTTTAATATGATGTTCGTGCCTCTGCTGCTCTCTGGCCACTTCTTTTGACAAAGCTTCTTGGAATTCTGAACCGGTCAATGTAATTCTAGTTTCAAGTTCTTTTCTGGAATAACAAGACCTATGAGTAAGAAGCTACACAGTAAAATAAATGAGGAGTGCATGTCTGCAGATGGGAGTTCTTCCATACTTCTTAGTTCTTAGACACCACGTATGCGGAGATGAGGCTGAAACGGTTCTTGAGATCACAGATGTTAATTCAGATACAAGACTGCCTGGATAGCACTTCACTTACAACCATTTCTTACCACAAGGACTTGCTCCCTTTAAAAAGGCATCTTTGCCTGTTTATAATCTTGCTAAAAACAGCAAATGGTAGTTTCAGTTTGCTGGGAAAACCTAATGAATTCTTCTGCCTCTGCACTCTCTCTCTTTTAATAGAATATTCTACTGTCTGACCATGGGAATAACCACATGCAGAAGGTCTAGCCTTGGTTGTTATGCCCAACCAAGGAATCCCAATTTCAAAACTTGCAAAATGCTTTCCGCAAGAGAAGGTGTCTGAATTAGAAAAAGATAAATTTACAGCACAATCCTAACCACAACTACTCAGAAGTCCTCCCAACTTAAATGGGGCTTTAGACTACAGCTAAGTGCAGACTAGGCTATTTTCAACAACACAAAGCTGAACTTTTTTTTTAAATGCACAACTAATGTATACCTGTGTTTTCTGGATCGTCTTGAGGCACATACCTGTGTTCCTGCTCTCTCAGCATAAGAAGTTCATGGACTTGTTCCACCTTCTCTTTTTGTTGCTGCAAAGAAATTCGAAGCAATTGCACTTCTCTCTCAGAAGCTGAAACTTTTAATTCTGCAGCTTGAATTTGCTTCCTCTGTGCAATGTATCAAAGGAAGATAAGGAACACACTATCATGGTTGCTGAGAGTTGGCACTACAAGCAAAACATCTTGGCGGAGCTGCCAGCTTCACCATGAGACATCATGGAAAACTCCTGATGTTCATCTTTCTGGCTAGCATGTACTACTACCCCCTAAAAAACCCACGTAGCAATTGGGCTTGAAAACAGCCTTTTGTCAGTAGCAATGCAAGAGAGTTTCAAGTCAAATTGCCATGCAGTTTTGTGTGTGTGTGTGTGTGTGTGTGTGTGTGAGAGAGAGAGAGAGAGAGAGAGAGAGAGAGAGAGAGAGAGAGAGACTGGCAGGCAGGCAGAGGCAGACAGACTGAAGATGGAGAATTAAGCATCAATATTTCTATCCTCAGCTGCAAACTCCATGAAGATCTGGCTCTGGTTTTGCCCTCCTTTCCTATATCTGCTTTTTGATGTAGCACAACTAGCATGTGGCACTGGGAGTTGGGCAGAAGGTACCATGGCTCTGAGGCTGAAAGAGCTTCCCCTCCCATGGAATACACTTTTACATTACTCCTCATGCCCCCCAATCACATCTTTCATTGTTTGACTCACACTCATATCCACAGTACCATTCAATAGCTTTATTCAACATAAAGTTGAACATCATTAGCCACACATCCCTGCAATTATACAGGAAGCTTTTGAAGGTATTTCAAATTTAAGTGATGCCCTGTGCAAGGTCAAGGATAACCCCCCCCACCTTCCGTTCTGCTTAATATACTATGTATGTCATAGTTGTAACATCCTGTGGTGCCCCCTAGGCTCAGTGCCCGCTGTAGTGGAACTGGTTATGCTGCCCTATAGCCAACTCTGGCTTTTGTACGAAAGGAGCTGCACAAGGTTCTCTATGTGGCAGCAATTTTTCCAGCTGTAAAGATTACAGGAACTGGATATGGTGATGCTCTCCCAACAAGGACAATGCAAAGGCAGGGTTATTTACTTCTTTGCTCCAGTGCTAGAACACACCAGTTAAACAGAATCTTAACATGCCAATGGTCTCAACCAAAATATGCTCTAGAAAATTTTGAGTTCCAAATCTATGTAGGAGACAGAATTTTGGCAGGTGCAACTCATCATGCAGAGGTGTTGAGAGATAAGATAAAATAGACCAGTTCTCCCTTACACCTGATTAACTGAACTGTAAGTACTAATTTTCTTCAGTGAGAAACAAAGGTTGTACCTCTGAAGCTTGCCGCTGTGCTCTTTGAGTCTCCACTTTGGACAGTGTTTCTTCTAAAGTCTGAAGTGCCTTTTGTTGATCCTCCACTTTATGTCGTGATTGATCTAGTTCCCTGTGAAGTCGTTCAACTTCGTCTTTCAGATGCTGAACGTCCACCTGAAGTTTGGTTTTCGCATTTCTTTCTCTCAAAACCAGCTCTTTTAGCCTGAAAAACATCACATTCATTCAAAATCACTACTTTTTCAAAGTAAGAAGTGGTGCTGTTTAGGAATGTATGAAGAGATGCCACCGTAGTATTGTATAGCTTTCGATACTCGGTGTATCACTTAAGGTCAAATCACAGTTTGCATTTCCAAAGCATATAGGCAAGCCATGCTTTAAACCTGCTCATCTGCTCCCTGACTCCCAGTACTCAGCTTCTGACACTCACACAACAGCAACCTCCAGAGGCAAAGGGCCAGACATAACTATGGCTTGTCCATTCAGATATTATGCCAGAACAGTTCAGCTTCCTTAACCATGATTTGGCATGATGTATAAATTGAGCTGTAGTTATACAATGGATTTATTTTTTACTTATTAAAATTATTTTATACCACCTTTCATTTTAAACACCAAGGCAGATTATAGGAAAATAAAAAAGCCATTTTAAAAAGCCATATAAGCAAACATCAGTTGCTATTAAAATAGCCAGAAATGCTAGGATCCGATATTAACAGTCAGGAAAAGCTTGGGTGAAGAGGTATGTTTTTAGTCAATGGCAGAAGCACCCAACAGTAGGTGCCTAAGTGATCTCCGGTTTCCACCAGTATTTGTCATGCTCCCAACCTAAGCAATGAGTTGTATTAATAGTTGATAGAACCAAGTCTTTAAGTGAGGAGGGGAAAGCTTTTCCAGAAGGACAATGAGAAAGCACTCAAAGTTCAAGAGGCAGAACTGTAAATATTTAACTCAGGAGTTAAATCATCTGCCTAAAACTACTGGAATATACTTTGGCATCCAGCTTTGTGCAGTTTCAGCATTTCTGCATCAAGCTTGTAGAAGACCTTTTGTTGCTGTATTCCAAGTGAGATTCTATCTGGCACAGTAGTGCCCCTGCTAAATTGCAGGGTTTCAGGGAGGAACATTTTTCAGTCTTACCTGGAGAAGCCAAGGATTGAGGATGGAACCTTTCACATGCAAAGCATACTCTACCACTGAGCTATGGTCTCCTTGTCAAAGCCTCTTAGCAAGGTCCAGGTATGTCCATTAGGGTTGTGCATACTCCAACATCCCCACAAGCACAGAACACACAAAACTTGACAATAGATGCTGAATTCAGCAGCTTGGCTTTCACTTTCCTTCACAGAAAAACAAGCAACTTTTCTGTTCTTATAGGCTGAAGAGGATGTGGAATTATCCGAGTGACAAACATTCACAAGAAGGTGAGTGGCAACTGCAAAGGTAGCTTAATAGCAAACACAGCCCAATATATATTTTAAGTGGGCATGTTCATCATCAGGAAATAATGGCCTGATTCACACATTACACTAAGCCATGATTTGTTTGACAAACCACAAGTTTGCCACACGTATGAAGTTGTCCCACAGATGATCACACAAACCACTTCAGAGGATTCTAGAAACCATGGCTTGTTTCTACAAAGTTTGTTCTGCAGCTGCTATGGCCTTTGTAGTTCGGTGATCAAACAAACCTTAGCTAAGGAAGGGTTCATATGTAATGTCAAGTCACAGTTAAAACAAACCAAGGTGCACAAGCCAACAGCAACAAGCTATGTCTTCACATATTGTTGGCAGTAACAAACTATAGTTAAGCCACAGGGAAGGGCTCAGATGATTTTTTTTAAAAGCCCATTGGTTAATAAACCAAGAATTAGCATTTTGTGGAAACCAGACCAATATCTGAAATGCAATGCTGTAAAAGTAATATTCTTTTTATGAAGGATAAACAATGCATAGAAGTTTTGCAGATAATCCTCAGAGTTATTTGCATATATTCAAATGCCAGAAGTGCCAACAAGGATTTTTCAAACACACTTCAAAATTATTTGAAGGCAAAGTCAATTATAATATTGCTAATAGTATCACTCGGATGACGAGGTTGATCAGTTTTCTGAAAAGCTGCACCTCCATCCACCTTTGACACAATTTGTTCTCCCGTTGAAGGGTAGTAGCATAGAACAGGATTGTGGAAGATTTATAGCCTAAAACACACTCAAAGTTATTGATTTGCAAATAAACCCACAGACACCTGCAGAAACTAGTTGTATTTTATTGCTCTAAGATACTCCCTCTCTGTTGCCTGAAAAAATGCACGTGGGGAAAAAACTGGTACTAAATTAATTTTCAGAAGGTCATTTGAACATGCTGGATCCTTACCGGTCTGTAGTATACACGGCCATACTTTGAATACCCTTTTCTTCTTTTGCTTGGTCCTGCAGCTCTTTGATATTTTCTCTCAGTTTCTTTTCAGCTTGTTCAGCCTTCCACCTTTTCTCTCTCTCCTGATCCAGCTCTTGAATTAGTGCCTGAACAAGACAGAGATCCCATACATTCCAAAGGAGAAACTACAAATGCAGAAGAATTGCTTCTACTAAGAAGAAAGGTGGATGCATTTTGGGGCAGGAAGGGTGTTGGCGCAGAAGGGATATGATAGACACCCACTTTATTCTCCCGAAAGATTACGTGCTATATGGCCATGACTCCAACACTGCAGGCCGCTACACTATAGGAAGGGTTTAAAAACTAGGCTACTAGACAGTTAAGGCAAAGGGATTGCTTTCACTTAACAACTAACAAATCCCAACTTTAAAAACCAATATTGGGCATATCAAGAAATGATCTACTTCAGGACCAGGTGCGCAGCCTGGGAGTCATTTTGGACTCACAGCTGTCCACGGAGGCGCAGGTTAATTCTGTGTCCAGGGCAGTTGCCTACCAGCTCCACCTGGTACGCAGGCTAAGACCCTACCTGCCCGCGGACTGTCTCACCAGAGTGGTGCATGCTCTAGTTATCTCCCGCTTGGACTACTGCAATGCGCTCTATGTGGGGCTACCTTTGAAGGTGACCCGGAAACTACAACTAATCCAGAATGCGGCAGCTAGACTGGTGACTGGGAGTGGCCACCGGGACCACCTAACACCGGTTCTGAGAAATCTGCATTGGCTCCCAGCACGTTTCCGAGCACAATTCAAAGTGTTGGTGCTGACCTTTAAAGCCCTAAACGGCCTCAGTCCTGTATACCTGAAGTAGCGTCTCCACCCGCATCGTTCAGCGATCCAGCGCCGAGGGCCTTCTGGCGGTTCCCTCATTGCGAGAAGTGAGGTTACAGGGAACCAGACAGAGGGCCTTCCCGGTAGTGGCGCCCGCCCTGCGGAACGCCCTCCCTTCAGATGTGAAGGAAATAAGCAGCTATCCTATCTTTAAAAGACATCTGAAGGCAGCCCTGTTCAGGGAAGTTTTTAATATTTAACGCTGTACTGTTTTTAACACTTGATTGGGAGCCGCCCAGAGTGGCTGGGGACACTCAGCCAGATGGGCGGGGTATAAATAATAAATTATTATTATTATTATTATTCAGCTCCAAATAAGTAGAAGAATGAAGGTCAGCAAAGGTAAAGTCTAGTAATGCTGGAAAACAAACAATGGGTTTCATAAAATCGTGAGAATTCTGTGTGGCAATGGTAGTCAGGTGCATACTGCAAAAGAAGAGCCAGTTTTGAAGTTCAATACAGCAAGTAGAATGCTGAAGGAGGTGCTGATGCAAGGAAAAAACACGAGAAAGCAGATGTGAGAGATGTACTGCACTTCAAAGTTTAGTCGCTCTCTGTACCATAAGCTGCTTCTGAAAATATCTCTACAGATGTATTTCTGTGATCCTGTAGTACAGTGGTGCCTCGCAAGATGAAATTAATTCGTTCCACGAGTTTTTTCGTCTAGCGAATTTTTCGTCTTGCGAAGCACGAAATCCCATAGGAATGCATTGAAATACAATTAATGCGTTCCTATGGTCAAAAAAAGTCCAAACAAAGCCAAATTTGGTACAACAAGAGTTTATTAAGTGCTCTTTAAAGTCACACCCACCACACAGAAATTCAAATCCAGAATTTTTTTAAAAAAACAGCAGAGTGGCCCAATGGTCACAAAAAATCAGAAACATTCAGAAAAAAAAAACAAGCTTCCAGATTCTTGCAAACCCCTCCCCAACACCAAGTCCTTGAATTCCAAACACCCCAACCCAAAATCCAAAAACCCCCAAAAAAGTTTTAAAAGTTTAACTTACCAAATGGCTGCAAAAGAAGTTTTGGAAAAGCTTCAAAAATCACCAAAGTCTTTAAAAACCTCAAAAAAGGCTACCACACTGCGTTCTATGAGTTGCTCCTCGAAGTCAAGTCGCAACTGTATTAACGGTGTTAAGAAAAAGGAAACAAACTTGCAAGACGTTTTCGTCTTGCGAAGCAAGCCCATAGGGAAATTCGTCTTGTGAAGCAGCTCAAAAAACGCAAAACCCTTTCGTCTAGCGAATTTTTCGTCTTGCGAGGCATTCGTCTTGTGGGGCACCACTGTAATATCTATAAGCCAATTCAGCTGCAAGAGATCCTGTGCTCAGTGGACCAACAGCTAGAACACTCATGTTGCCTTACAAGTTTAGGGGTTCTCTCCACTTCGATTTAGAAAGTTACTCCTACTTCTGTTGATCAATATTTATATTAGTGCCAGTTTTTATGGCTAGCATGAAAACCATGTATCTTGAAATAATAAAATATTAAAATATACCTACCCTGTAAGTGGACTCTTCTTTAATACTGGAATCTAAATGTTTTTTCATGTGGTTTTTCTGCGCACCCAAATTCTTGGGTGATTTCCCCACTAAATCTGAGCTCGGAACTTCTGAAGCTGGACTTGAATTTTCTTCATCTTTAACTTGAGATCCTCGAATTTTTGACTTTACAGAAATCTGCTCTCCTGCCCTAAAACGATACATAAACTCACACATCAATATGTGGACACAAAAAACTTCCAGATGTTACCAAATGCATTTAGAATGCCTTCTAAATACTTAAATGAAAATTTTCTGTGCTTTTACTTGATCATAAACGAGCAAACAAAACCATTTGTTTTATTTTTAACACCCAAACTGCTCTCCAATTGAACTATTATTATTATTAATTAAATTTGTATATCGCCCTATACCTGCAGGTCTCAGGGCGGTTCCCAGGATAAAACCATGATATAAAAACACAGAATACATAAAATAAAGACAAGAACAATCCCCCCAACCACATTTTAAAAGGCCATTGAATGTCAGTCAACCAAAGGCCTGGTTAAAGAGGAACATTTTTCCCTGGCGCCTAAAGGTGTATAATGAAGGCACCAGGCAAAACTCCCCGGGGAAAGCATTCCACAAATAGGGAGCTATTGCAGAAATGGCCCATTCTTGTGTTGCCACACTCCGGACCTCTTGTGGAGGAGGCACAAAGGGCCTCACAAGATAATCTCAAGGTAACAACTAGAAGTACCTAAAAAGTCCACTGAAAACATTATTTTAGACATGCCTATTCAGAAATCCACCAAGTTCAATGAGGCTTACTCCCAAGTAAATTGATAAAAGACTGCATGTGATTATGGAAGCACACATCAACAAACTGAAGATACCTGTCTGAAATTTTGCCTCTCTGAGAATGGTACTTTGTAGACGAAGTGGCTTTTCGATAACTGGGGATCTTGCTCCTTTTAGCTACCTTTCTGTTCTCTTTCCCACTTTCACTACCACTCTCTGAAGTGAGATCTGTGTCCCTTTTTGCTTTGAGAACATTAAGAGCAACGCCAGCCTTTGAAGTCTTAGTCACCTAAAAATAAAAGGATTTAGAGCTCATTTTTTATCTTACTTGATCTTTAGACCTATTACTTTTAGACAGTCTTGGGTAGCTGATTACACTGAATGCCACTTACAGCAGGATAATCTGTGAAAATGTATTAACTCCAAAAGTAAGAAGTGTCCATTATTACTTCAAGCAGCAATTAAGCGAGGTTCTTCTTCCCTTTAAGTTCCCAAAATACCCAGCCTAAGCTCCTTGACTGCAAGCTTCAGCACTTTCCACTCAGACCATAAGAACAATTTTGCTCTCAAGCGCATGACTCATACTGCACTCTGAAGCTTATTCGCACTGCAGTTCTGGGACTACAGAAGCTCAAGTGGCTTGTTGATCATACTCTGTCTGAAGTCATGGACTACAGACCTTTCAATTCAGACCTTTGGTATTAAAGCAAGAATGAGCCAAAAGCAACCAAATGGAAAAAAATGGGTGGGGAACTCAATTGTTTCAGGCAAGTCAGCTGGTAGCTTTGCTGCAGTCATCCCAAGCCTCTATAAATAGGTGCACAAGATATAAACTGTATCTATGTCACATAGAGCAACTGTTTCAATTGTAACTACGGCTGGATCTACACTGATCTGTAAAAATGTTATTAAATATAGCATTATATAACTCTCAATGCAGTTTCCCATTGTCGAAGGCTCACTGCTCCACAGCGCCCTCTGTGTCTCATTTTAATAATGCATTTTAACGTTATAAACAACCAGTGTAGATCCATCTTACATTTGGGGAAGATCTGTAGCTCAGTGGTAGAACACCTGCCTTTCAGAACAACCCAAGTTTAATTCCCGGCACCTCCAGGTGAGGCTGGGAGAGATGCAAAGTCAATGTAGACAATACTGAACTAGATGGGACTATTGTCTGACCAGGTACAAGGCTGCTTCATATGTTCCAACGCTCATCAGCAAACAGATATCTGTCAAGCCAGAGGGGGAAATGTAAACCGTTACCTTTTCCAGCAGCTGTGATATCTGATCCTCTAGTTTTTTTATTCTCATGTCACTGTCCAGTTTAATTCTTTCTGGCTCGGAAGAGGATATGCCCTCAGGGGAAGAGCTAGTGGCCGGCCAGATTGGCGTACAGGCACGCTGGCGAAACTGAGCTAACACCTCATCAATACGGGGTGTCATCACTGGCAAACTGATACAAGTCTGTTTAAAAGAAAGAAAGCATAAGTGATGAGGAGTGAGGGGGGGGGACGTACCCTGCTTTGACATTTTCAAAGACAAAAAGGCCCCCCTCCACTGCCCTCCACACACATGCAGGAGTCACAGCACCTCATCTTCATCTGCAGGAGAACTGGATGAAGCCAAGCAGTCCAAAAGGCCTTCTAAGCACTTCAGATCTGTTGAATTTGCTTCTGCCAAGTTTACTGGTTCACCAAATATATTCCTTCCATCTAGGATGGTTAGCTGGGGTAAAGCCTGAAGGAGGATCTCTCTGTAGCCTAAGAAGAACAGAGAAGCTATTAGGCTCCATGCTTCAGTCTAAACATCACCAACAGTGAGGCAAATTCATTTCAGTATACATATCTGACTATCCCAATACCAGATGGATGGGGAACCAGTTTCCCTACCAGATGCTTTGGGCTACAACTCCCCATCATCCCAAACAATTGGCTGTGCTGGCTGAGGCTGATGGGAGTTGGAATCAAGTACAGTGGTACCTCGGGTTATATACGCTTCAGGTTACAGACTCCGCTAACCCAGAAATAGTACCTCAGGTTAAGAACTTTGCTTCAGGATGAGAACAGAATTCGTCTTCCATGGCACAGCAGCAGCAGGAGACCCCATTAGCTAAAGAGGTGCTTCAGGTTAAGAACAGTTTCAGATTAAGAACGGACCTCCGGAACAAATTAAGTACATAACCCAAGATACCACTGTATCTGGAGGGTCACAGGTTCCCTATCCTTGTATTATCTGAAACACCATTCACTGAAGAACTAAATTATAGGCTCCAATCTATTCCCGAGATGTTCTTCGGGCAGCCGAAAGCCTCAACCGCTCGCAGAAGGGCTATTTCTGAATGGAGCAAAAGAGCACCGCATGAGAAGATTTCAAAGCAGTTCTGCTGTTTGCGCAAGCTCTTTCTCAAGACTTTTTCATTGTTCACTGAACTTTATATGGTACAGTCTGCGTCTTTCTTCTCAGCATGTTTTTTTATATTGCAATGCACCCTTATGAATATTTTGCTTATTAAGATACTTATAACCCCGCCCTATAATGGATCTCAGGGCGGAATACGAAAACAGCAAATTGCAAACCTGCTATAGCCATTAATTTTAAAATCAAGCAAACATCAATACCAAGCTGCAGTCAAAGGTTTCCCCGGTGCTGAACTAAGATCAACGCTAGCGTCAGCCTGGCCTCTGAGGGGGAGACATTCTATAACTGGGGTGCCACAGCCATGCTGCAAGAAGTCTTCTGCAACCTTAGCACAATAATTCATGGACCAGCGCTTGTGCTTTTCTCTTTCTGCCAACAGTTATCTGGATCCAAGTCATGATCTGGTGATCAGCTGGAAATGCCGATCTTCAAAATGCAAACAGAGTGAGTCATAAATGTTTCCTGTGCACTACTCTTACCTATTTTTGCACACACTGGGTTACTTTTTCCACTCTTCTCCAAAGAAAGATTTGACAGGTACTGTAATCCCACCAAGCACTGGAGTAAATGGTTAATATTACTTATACAATTGCCGTGTAGCTCAAGAGAACTAATTTTAAAATTGGCTCCACGAAGGTACAAAAGTCCTGTAAAAACAGACACAGTATGTCAAAAAACATTTTCAACAAGAAGGTGTGTAAAGACAAGGAAATCCCTTCTGGATCAAGCCAAGGGCTCATCTAGACCAGGAGCATGGTCTCACAATGGCCAAATATGATTCTCAGCAACTGGAATTTGGAAGCATAGTGGAGGTAAAACACAGGCATCATGGCTAGTAGCCACTGATGGTCTCAGCCTCCTTGAATTTGTCTAATCCTCTGTTGACGCCACCCAAGTTGGTAGCCATCACTGTTTCCTGAGGGAATGAGTTCTGTAGCTGAAACGATGTGTTATGTGGAAAAAGTAATTCCTTTTAGAATAAACCACTTTTCTTCCTTTCCTTTTGTAAAATACCCCATGAACACTTTATTGGCAATTGTTAGATGTATGCAGCAGCAATAACAATTCTCGTAAAGCCATCATGGGAGTTAAGTCACATCAAACATAGTAAGACTTACTTCCAAGTAGATATGCAGAGGGATGAGCTGCAAAAATCTCTTACCTGTAAGGTCATGTATACGGTTGTAAGACAAATTCAATCTAGTTAAGTTAAACAGCTTTTCCAGTCCTGGGAAAGAAAAAGGTAAACAAAAAAATCACTGACCACAGAGATCAGATAAAGAATATATGCCATTAAGATAATGTAGAAAAAAGATACAGTGGTGCCTCGCAAGACGAAATTAATCCGTTCCGCGAGTCTCTTCGTCTTGCGAAGCACGGCTATTAGCGGCTTAGCGGCTATTAACGGCTTAGCGGCTATTAACGGCTTAGCGGCTATTAACGGCTTAGCGGCTTTAAGAAAAAGGAAACAAACTCGCAAGACGTTTTGTCTTGCGAAGCAAGCCCATAGGGAAATTCGTCTTGCGAAACGACTCAAAAAACGCAAAACCCTTTCGTCTAGCGAGCTTTTCGTCTTGTGAGTCATTCGTCTTGCGGGGCACCACTGTAAAGTCGCAACAGTTACAGGGGTCCACAGTTTAGGGTTGGTCGGCAGCCAAGCCAGAATTTATGGTTATTGTCTCTTGTTCCTGACCTCACATTATGTCCCTAGTGTCCTGGGCTCCTTCGGGAGGAAGAGTGGGATATAAATTTAATAAACAAATTATGTCTCCAGTTCTGAGGTCCAACACAATTGTAAGACGACACTCCCACCACTTTTTATCTCAGCTTGGAACAGGGGAAGGAAACAGAGGATTGTTTGAGGACTGGGCTAGCAAAGCACTTGGAGCATCTTGACAGAGTTGCCAAGAACCACCATAGGAAGCCCCAACTTTCCAATCCAGCTTGGAGGTGGGGAGGAGAGGGGTCTTCCTCTTATAATTAATTATAAAACAAAATAGCATGAGTTTTTATAAGAACGTTTAACTAAGTCCCGGTTCTGGGAGAAAGGCATAAATGAATAAAATAAATAATAATAATAATAATAATTTCACAAGCCAGTGGATTGTGTTTGAGTGAGAAACGAACAAGTTACAAACCAGGTGTAGGGTACCGGATGTTGCTGAACTACAACTCCCAACATCCCCAGTCATTGGCTTTGCTTGTTAGGGCTGATGAGAGCTGCAGTCCAGCAACACTGGGAGGGCCAGAGGTTCCCCACCCCTGCCATAAACTAGAGTTTGCAATTGAACAAACAGTAAACTAGCACACACTGTTGAACTGCTCCTACTGCATTCCTCCTGAGCACAAGTAGGAGCAACAAACCACAAGCCTTGGCTTATTGTAACATGTGAACCAGGATTTGGAGTTTATTTCCTCTCTAAGCAAACCAAGATCTGAAGCCAAGCACTGGTTCACACACTGTAGTAAGCCAAGGCTTGTGATTTGTTACTCCTGCTTACACTAGGGGAGGAGTACAGCAGGAGCGATCTGGAAGCTTGCACTAGCACTGATTTTCCGTGTCATCCAAACACAGTCATTACATGTGACATGCACACTAGGAACAGAAAACCAGTCAAGCCAAGGACTAACCTTCAACCTTTGTTATCAAGTTGCAAGCTAAGTTTAAGGTACGCAGGTTGGTCAGGGAACTCAGCCCTTCAATCCGATGTATGCGATTGGATGAGAGATCCAGATGCTGCAAGTTCAACATATGACCAAGACTTTCAATTCTGGAGATCTGGTTACAGTGCAAGTTGAGCGTGTGAAGTTCTGAGCTTAAAGGTATCTCCGCTAAACTACAAATGAAAAAGCAAATGGTATTAGGATGTAATAATTTTTGGGGGGGGGGGAGGGCAATAGAGAATCCTACCGTAATTAATAAAAATAAGCAGTAAGTAGCCTATCTCAAATGGTCTGCAAGGCAGGTAAGCATGGTCATTTCCAGTGCTCAGGCAGTTGTGAAAAGTCAATGGAGGATCCTAGGCCAATTCTTCTTTCTCACTGCTACCCCACAGGGTTGTTGTTGTGAGAATTAAATGGTGGAACTGCCCATGCATTTTCACCCCGCTCTTCCCATAAGGTTCATCTCATCACAACTTCCAATCTTCACAAGCCTGTGAATTAGGGCTATGCGCTGTGGGTTAAACCACAGAGCCTAGGACTTGCCAATCAGATGGTTGGTGGTTCGAATCCCCGCGACGGGGTGAGCTCCCGTTCCTCGGTCCCTGCTCCTGCCAACCTAGCAGTTCAAAAGCACGTCAAAGTGCAAGTAGATAAATAGGTACCGCTCTGGCAGGAAGGTAAACAGCGTTTCCGTGCGCTGCTCTGGTTCGCCAGAAGCGGCTTAGTCATGCTGGCCACATGACCCGGAAGCTGTACGCCGGCTCCCTCAGCCAATAAAGCGAGATGAGTGCCACAACCCCAGAGTCGTCCGCGACTGGACCTAATGGTCAGGGGCCCCTTTACCTTTATGTGATTAGGACGGCCACCTGTCCATTCACTTAACCTTCATGTTTGAATGGGAATCTTAAACCCAGGCCTTGCTGGACAGTTGGTTCCGTTGGGACATTCAATATACTTCCAACTAAGTAAAGGAACGCTCAGCGGAGCAATTTGGGGCCATTAATGTTAAAATGTCCACGGAGCCTCCCTCCCTGGATGCCCCAAGCACGTGCTTCTTTCGCTTGATGGTTCATCCTGCCCTGCTGGGACCCGAACCAACGGATTCCTGTATTGCGAGGGTTGGACTAGATGACCCCTGGGGAGCCCCGCCCAACCCTACGATTCCGTGACTCCGCTGCAGCCGCTCACCTCTTGACGCCTTTGTCCATGAGGCTGAGCTCCCCCGAAGCCGCTCCGGGCTCCGCCATCCCGCTCCCGTCGGCGCCGCCTCTTCCCTCGGAGCTGCCCCTCTGCCTCAGCCGCCGCGGCGTTTGCCGCCCTCCGCTTCAAATCCCTCCCACCCCGTCGCTGGGACAACAGCGCCCGCGCAAGGCATGACGGGAAGCTCGAAGCTCCTCCCAGCGGCTCTTTCCGGCGAGCGAGGAGAAAGAGAACCCTAGCGCTATTAAAAAAAATAACAGATACGCACGTCGCCTGAGCACTTCCGGGACGGAAGTAGGATGCGCCGCAGGACTCTGCGCGTTTCTCCTACTACAGGAAGGGAAAGTGAGGGGTAGTGCTTGGGGCTTTGCGCCACGATTCAGAAGGGCCGGGGCTCTTCTCCCCCACTCAGTTTCTTAGGATTTACCTATCTCTCAGGTTGTTTGGCAAGGGGGGGGAGGTGTAAGTCTATGGATAGGATAAAAGGTGATTAAAAACAAGACAATTCGTCCTCCACTTTCTGAGTTTTTTAAAGGTGGAAAACGAGATTTGTAAATATATATAGATATCAATGTAAACACATGTTGTCAGTGCAACACAGCCCATGCAACCAAGAACGGCTTCTCTAAAGTGAACCCGGAAACTCCAATCAGCTTGGTGCGTCACTCTTCATTTTTATTGCGTTTGTGAAACATGCCGGGAGCGGGAACCTTGGAGATAGAAAGAGAAGAGTGGTTCTCTATTTTTGAGACGGGCGGCTGCCCAGCATAGGCTGACGTTCAAATGGAATCCGGAAGTTCTGGCCATGTGCACATCGTAATTTTCCCCATATCTGTTTGGCTCAGGGGAAACCTCTACAGTATCTTTGGGGAAAAGGAGTGGGGCTGCAGGCAGCCCACAGCGCTAGGAAAAGTAGATCTCTCCCACTCCCTTCCCTTTAGAGAACAGTTTAATTTGAGGTCTCTGTTTTCCGCATCCCTACGGAGACGAATAAAGGGGCTTGGGAACGCATGTTCCAGACTGAACCAGATTTACGTTACAAGCAACCTGAGCCCTGCATCTATCATAACAGAACCGTGTTCAGAAAAGGGCAACCAAAATGTTCGGGGGGGGGGGCGACTCCCCTACTTTAGAAAAGTAGCAGCTTTGGGGACTTTTTAGGAGATTGCGGACTCTTCTTCCTTGGAGGTTTTTAAGCCGAGCTTGGATGAGCATCTGTCATCGGTGTTTTGTCTGAGACCCTCGGGGTCTATATCCAACGGAGCTGAGTGCTGGGAAATTCAAGGCAGATACAGTATAGCAATGTACCTCTCTATGCAGCACATTGTTTATCTGTGGAACTCGCTTCCACAGGAGGCAGCAGTGGCTACCAAGCTGAGTGGCTTTGAAAGAGGCTTGAACAAATCATGGATGAGGAGGCTATGCATGGCTACTTGCCATCATGGCTACGCTCTGCCAGGCAGGGCAAGACTGCTGCTTCAGGTGGCAGAACACCCACAGGCATCTCACCGGCCCTGCCAGAGCGGAGAAGCGTCACTGCCGTTAGCACTGATTTGGGTAAAGATCCCATCCATTTTGCGCCCCAAATTGTGTGAGATCTTGCCCTCTCCGCATGCGGTTTTCGATAAATAAACTCCAGCTCGCTCTCCTGTTTTCCTGTAGGAAGCTCTGTGCAACTGGGGACTCAGCTACACTGACAAAGAAAAAGTGCTTTATATGTGTTGTTGTTCTAACACTGTGACACCAGGTGGTGCTGCGGAGTTCTGTTTTTGCCAACCCGATTTCTCATACAAAGTTTGGAACGCGTTTAACTGAAACGCTTCTTTGATGTGTCAAGATCAAAGTGCAGCCCCACTCCAAAATAAACATGACAACACCCTTTACATAATGTGAGAATAGGGCTTGAGTGGGACATTTGTGTAAGGTCCTCCACTCCTCTTTTTCCCTACAACTGTGAGGTAGTTCAGTTGAGAAATGGCAATTGGACTCAGGTCACCCAATAAGCTTTATAGCTGTATGGGGATTGCTGATTAGAATCTGATCTCCCCAGGTTCTGCATCTGTTTGGAAGCTATTTCAGTTGTTTTAAAATGTTTTTATTGTTTTTATATATGGAATTGTTTTATATGCTTTGCATGTAAATGTTTTTACACTTTTCTTGTTTTGTTACTGTAACTTCTTTATATAGTTGTATATATTATTGTTGTAAAATGCTTTGGGACCTTATAGTGAAATAAGAAATAAAATACATTTTTTAAAAAAGTTTTAAAAGAACCCTGAGTGACATAGCTGGCACCCCTTAGGGAAAATATGTACTCTTTCTCATAAGGCACATGTACAGATATTTGCCATCCTCCAGAAAATGAAGAGTTTCTTCCCATCATTAATCTGAAGGGCACACATGTCTCCAAATTGCGTTGCCATCTGTGATGATACTAAATGAGCTGAAATGCGTATGTGCCTAATTTCCAGTGTCTTAATCATGTTTGTCACCCAAGAGGGGGCAATCTGGATTTATCTCTGTCCTCCTTTCCCCAACACTGCACATTAGAATCAATGGAGGGCAGCGGATCATGCAATACATTCATTAATGGAAATGACCAAATAAATCCATGATAGAAAACCTCACGGCTTGGTGATTTGGGTTGCTTACAGGTGACCTGTATATTGAGCATTCATCCTGATTCTGTTTGTACACAACTTGCAGGGCGTTTATATGATGTCAGCTGTTTATTGAGCATCCATTCTTATTTGTTTTCAGGGATGTAGTACAATTTCATATCCGGAGCATTTGCTATCTTGCACTTTGTTTACCACCACAAGTGTGGTGTTGATTTTATTTTGGGGAGGAAAGCAGGTTTATTGTGCAAGAGTGCCAAAATCACTTTAATGCCACAACCCAAATTTGCCAGGAATTGACTTCACTTCCAGTTACAAAATAGTGGCAATCTGGAAGCAGCAGTGGTCATATATATTGGGCTCTGGAGGTGAAAACTTAAGATTCTAAGATGGATTTGTGAAATTTTAAAAGTAGTAGTCTTCTTCCTTTTCTTTCTGAGGCCTCCTTGCTTGAAGACACTGGCTTGTCTGGATTTGCTGCAAGTTCAGGAACCATTCAGTCAGAGCTATCTTGGACTCTTTGAGATGATCTGACACATAGGACTTGGGATCATCTACACAAGTACTGAACAATCATCCACACCCAAAAGTGCAGAAAGTGCAGTCCCACAAGTAATCCTTTATCGTGTGATAGGTTTGTCTGCTTCTTCTATACTAAACCACTTCTGTGTTCAGTAACACAGGAGGGCATCTATGGAAGTGATTTCCTGGACTGCACAGCTTCATACTTTCTCAAAAAGGGCTTCATGCACAGTTTAGAATGGAATCTTGGAATCGCGGCTTAGTCAAATAGGCTGGGTTATGACTTTAACACAGTTTGTCATAGCTACTCCTTAGTGTAACCTTTGGTCATCCAGATGTTGCTGAACCACAACTCCCATCCGTTGGCTACCACTATCGCACAGGGCTTCACAAAGTGGCACAAGAAATGCCCAAACACTACAGTGCCAGTGGGAGAAAAAGTCCATTCACTGGCATAAACTAAGGGCTACATCTCCATCCATTGCAAAAGAGCCTCGGAAGCAAGGGGCAGAAGGGAAACGAACCAGCTGGGTGAGGACGGTCTAGCTCTGGGGTCAGGCTAGGAAAGCAGAGGAGCACTGGGGCGGGAGGCAGATGGATGGGGCGGATGGAGATGGAGCTCTGCCACCGCCTTCTACAAGGTCCATTAATAGTTTTGTATGGCTGCCTTTCCCACCATGAACCTGCCTGAACTCTGAGATCTGAGGGCCTTCTGTGATTGCCAACTTCAAGAGTACAGTGATACCTTGGTTTACAACCATAATCCGTTCCGGAGGTACCGGTTGTAAACCAAAACAGGTTGTAACCCAAGGTGTGCTTTCGCCAATGAGGCCTCCAAAAATAAATAAATGGTTGTAATAAAAAAAGGGGGTTGTAATCCAAAAAAGGGGACACACACTTCAGTTTGACGTGGTTGTAATCCAAAACTGTTGTAATCGAAAATGGTTGCAAACCAAGGTACCACTGTAAGTCCAGAGCGTGGCAACAACAGGAATGCTGTCTCCAGGGAGGCCTGCCTGACACCAGTCTTGTAATTGTTTCAGTGCCAAAGACATTTCTGTGTGATATACTGTTAGGTAAAGGGTAAAGGTAAAGGGACCCCTGACCATTAGGTCCAGTCATGGCCGACTCTGGGGTTGCGACGCTCATCTCGCTCTACAGGCTGAGGGAGCCGGCGTACAGCTTCCGGGTCATGTGGCCAGCATGACTAAGCCACTTCTGGTGAACCAGAGCAGCGCACAGAAACGCCTTTTACCTTCCCGCCGGAGCGGTACCTATTTATCTACTTGCACTTTGACGTGCTTTCAAACTGCTACGTCGGCAGGAGCAGGCACCAAACAACGGGAACTCATCCCATCGCGGGGATTCGAACCGCCGACCTTCGGATCGGCAAGCCCTAGGCTCTGTGGTTTAACCCACAGCACCACCCGCATCCCTTGATATACTGTTAAGTCTGTTTTAATAATGTGCTTGGGATTTTATTTTTACTTTGGTTGTAAATTGCTTTAGGACACAAGAAAACTATACCCTTTTAAATGTGTTTGTGGGGGAAGGGGAGTTTTTTTTGGTGGGGGGGTTGGTTCTTGTTTATATTATATGTTTTGTGTTTTTATCTTGTATTTTTATGTTGCGAACCACCCTGGGATCTATGGTTGAGGGGTGATATACAAATTTAATTAATAATAATAGATATAACAAACCTACACTTTTATAAAACTTGTAAACTGCCCTGTGATCTCCAGATTAAAGGTGGTATATAAATTTAATTAATCATCAAAATCCCTAGCCATTGGGCATGCTTGCCGCAGCTGATGGAAGTTGTAATTCAGCCAAATTTGGAGAGCCAAAAGTTTCCTCTTCTTGCCTTAGACTAAGCTGGCTACTGGTAGACTGGGAGAAATAGACGTTGCTATCAGTTTATGACAGCAATCCTATACATGTTTAATCAGATGCCCATTCAATAGCACCTACTCTCAGTTAAGTACATACTACCAGTTAAGAAGAATTGCATCCCTGGGGGTACATCTCACATATCTCAGTGCAATACTATTTCCTGAACACACACACACACACACACACACACACACACACACAGGATTGTGCTGTAAATGCAATAAAAAAGGAAAATCAGTATCTGAATCATCAAGGAGCACAATGCAGTGCCAGATGGCATTTTTAGGGGTTTTTGTTTAAATAAATGGCACATATGAAGTCCTTGATGTGCTGCTGAGATCCAGTGAGACCATTTGCTAAATCAATAAGGAGTCAGTAAAGCTTTATGACCATATGCCTCTTGTAATGAATAATCAGGGGAGAGTAATGACAAAGCACATCAATTTGATTAATCAGATATTTATTGCATGCTGGCAGGTTTTGGATGAAATATGCATGGAAGAATTAATATTTCTGTTTATACTTTATTTCTTGATATCCAGTATACCCTGCTGAGTTTATGTTTGATCTGAGTTAATGAACCCAAATATCTTTGTTTCGCTCTTTTTTTGTAGGAAGTTTTATGGTTGCTTTTAAGCTTGCATCAAAAGCAGCATCAGCTGTACTTCCCTTCTTCTATACAACTATTAAAGGTGAAGGATCCTTGTCTGTTTTGGCATCTGGTCATCCAGGTCCACACTTATGAAGTTTCTCTTAATGCTTTCCCAAAATCTACTTCCCATTTTCACCCATTAATTGCATTCCTGCGGTCAGGAGCGAGCAACACATTTATCATGTCCTTGGTTATCTTTTCTATAAGGTTTACCAAAAAAAGGCAGAAGATCCTAGTGTCACAGCAGTAAAACATATTTACAAAGCTAAGCAGGGTCCAGTATGGTTTCACATTGGATAGGGGACCGTGTGTTGAGATTTCTGCATTGCAGGGAGTTTGACTAGATGACTCTCGGATCCCTTCCAACTCTATGATTCTAAACATTTCCAAGAGGAAGGAAATCTGAATGTGCAATCAGATTTTAGCTGTGTAATCAGATTCCAGCTCCCCTGTTTACCCACAGGCCTTTCTGCTTATAGACAAATCCTTTTGTTATCTCAGATACTTGGAACAAATGTCTATAATTGCCTTTGATCCGACTTGAGACTCTGGATCAAAAAATGTAATCAGTATAAAACTGGGATAGACTTTGCTACCAGGGAATTGCCAATAGTTTTTTTTAGCGGTGCCTCTGTTTCTACAGACTTAATTGAGCACGTGTGGAAGACTTGGCCTCGTCTAACACAAATACGCCATTTTGCTTGTAGAAGCCTTGTTTAAGGGAAAGTGGAAATGTACCCTTGTCTTACCGTTTTCAGTTTAAGCTAGGATATTGTACTATTGAAATTACACTCTAAATTTCTTTAAATTTCTTCTGGTCTACACCATAAGTTTCGAGCACTCTTACACAACTTTAGCAGTCATGGCTTCTGTTGGTATCAAAAGGTAAAAGGTAAAGGTAAAGGGACCCCTGACCATTAGGTCCAGTCATGGGTGACTCTGGGGTTGCGGCGCTCATCTCGCTTTATTGGCCGAGGGAGCCGGCGTGCATCTTCCGGGTCATGTGGCCGGCATGATTAAGCCGTTTCTGGTGAACCAGAGCAGTGCACGGAAATGTTGTTTACCTTCCTGCTGGAGCGGTACCTATTTATCTACTTGCAGTTTGACGTGCTTTCGAACTGCTAGGTTGGCAGGAGCAGGCACCAAGCAACGGGAGCTCACCACTCACCCCATCGCGGGGATTCGAACCACCGACCTTCTGATTGGCAAGTCCTAAGCTCTGTGGTTTAACCCACAGCGCCACCCGCATCCCTGGTATCGAAAGGTATTTACTCTCACTGCTCTCCTATATACTGGACACAGTCACAGGGAACATCAAGTGTTACAGCACTCTGTAAATACCCAGGTCCATGGCAGGGAAACAACTCAAGAGCTCTCCTGCAAACAGTAAGTGTAGGCTTTATATGACTTGTTCAAGTAAAGCTGTTCCTTTCTTGGCAGCCCCACCTCAGCCTATTTCGTAGGACAAATATAAAGAAAGGAAAACCCTCCTTGTAGATCTCTTCCAGGACCTTTGCACATTCCAGGTAAGCAAGCTTTGAAGTAAAGGGGTCCACTGAATGAGGTCTGCTTCCCTATCTGTGCTCACCCCCTTCAGGGACTCAGGATGGACTTGTTCCTTCACATTAGGACTGCAGCTTATTACGCAGTCGGGTTCCTCCGTCAAGAGTTTTTGCTCCATCTGTCTTTGCCTTGACAGCCTCCCCAACCTTGCATTTTAGTGTGAATTTCTCCTAATGCACACGTTTGCATGCAATTTTGCCCATTATCCACATAAAGCAACTTGTGCTAATACAATGCATTTTTGCTAATTATCCACATTTTTGCAAAGCAATTTTCACAAAAAACCTAATGCATTTTTGCTTGTTTTTTTGGTATCCCTCTGTCTCGACAGACAATGGAGTCCACCTCTGGAGGTGAAGTCAAACCACTGCATTAGCAGCACCAAAGTGACCCTCCTTGGGGCACAAGCCTGGGTACTGTATATGGAGGTCCTGGGCTGCCCAGATGACAAGACCCCAATTGCTGATGTGGTCCAAAGCAGAGCAAAATATTTGGCACTGGCTTCCACTAATATATGCATTGTTATGCACAGATTAACTAGCATATACCTTTTTTGTAAACTTTACTTGGCTGAAGAAACGCATTGCAAAATTCAGAGAAGTGTGAATTCCCAAGGATGGCTGTGTTTCAGTTCTCTTTTTGTTCCAGAAAATGTGCCTTAATTTGAGAACACGCTGGTGATGGGGAATGCTATTTTCTATGACCCAGCCTGCTTCCTCAAAACAGCGTGGTTAATCATCAGCACTTTTCCTGTTAAACATAGGAGGATACAGGTTTGTAATGACCTTGCAAACCATTCCAAGTAACGTTTCACTACAGTCAGAGGAGGAGATTAGGATCTTCGGGTTGCTAACGATTCTTTTTTTGGTGTGTGTGTGGAAATAACAGCAAAAGAAAACAAAGTGCCATGGGGAACGACGGGTGTGATCAGGTAAATGAAGAAAATAGAAGCCAAAATGGCGAGATGCAACTCAAAAGAACCATAGGATATTTTGAAGGTGCCAGCTTTATCGTGGGCACCATTGTAGGGGCAGGGATCTTTGTCTCCCCCACTGGAGTGCTGAAATATTCTTTGCTCAATGTTGGCGTTGCATTGATCATCTGGACAGCTTGTGGCATCGTATCGCTGATGGGCGCTCTCTGCTATGCAGAGCTGGGAACAGCGTTACCGCTCTCAGGAGGCGAATACAGCCACATCAAGAGAGCCCTGGGCTCTCCCTTGGCTTTCATCTTTCTGTGGACGGCAGTGTTCAACAAACCCGCCTCAAATGCCGCTCGGGCCTTGCTGTTTGCTGAGTATGCCACCAAGCCTTTCTACGGCGAGTGCCCGGTTCCCGACGTGCTGAAGAAATCTCTGGCTTTGGCGGTCCTCTGGTGCCTCGGGATCCTCAACGGTCGAAGTGTCAAGATGGCTGCTTGGGTGCAGACCGTTTTCACCGTCCTGAAGATGATGGCGCTCTCTGTAATCGCGGTTGGCGGGATTGTCCTGCTGATCAGGGGAAGGAAAGAGAACGTAGCAAGGTTTGAGAATGCCTTCGGCTCAGAAATCCCAGATGCTGCGCAGGTTGCGGAAGCGTTTTATCAGGGGCTCTATGCATATGGCGGCTGGTGGTCTCTCAACTATTTGTCAGGTATATCTCTCATTTTTGCTTTCAGTTGGCAGTTGTGATGTCTTGACTATGGAACTGAGGCTCCACACAGGTGTCAGTGACTTTTCTTGATGATGAATAGAGTCCTGTACAGCTTCCTGGCTGGTTTCTTCATACAGGCCTGAAGCAATAATTTTCTAGGCCAAGGAAAGAGAAGGAGGGAAGACACTGCAGGGTGGATTATTCTAAAGCAGTGAACAACTAATTCACAAGTACTGAGCACAGTGAAGCAGCTGGTTTAATCACACAGAATTAAACCACCTCACCACCTCACATTTCTGAACCATAGGATTACCAGGGTTTTTTTAAAAAAAAAATGTTTGCACTACTGTCATTCAATCAGGGAACACATAGATAAGTGTTAGGCCCAATTCTGGATCAGTTTCAGCCATGTGAAAGTATCCCTGCAGATGTTGAATTCTATCATCCTTGATCTTTGGCTATGCTCTCTGGTGCTGATGGGAGTCCAACATCATCTTGGGTGGTCGAAGGTTTCGCATTGGATTCAGACAAATCCTGAATTATGATTCTAAGTCAGCTGCTGTGGATGGATTCAGAACTTCTCTGAGCTGAAGCAGGATCTCTCAGAAGCACCCTGAACTGCTGGGGACCTTTAAAGCTATTTGGGGTGATTAAGAGATCCAAATGTTTTTTTAAAAAGCTATACAGACCATGTGCAGGGGTGCGAACTTGAATAAAATACGTGATCATGTGTCTGAAAAAAACTGAAACGTGATGAAAATACAGGGTGGTCCTGCAGACTGACAGGACTAGATTCTAATCTAGGAGTTGCCAATCCTTTGGGGCACATGGGCTTTTTGAAAGAGTGCAGTGGGACCCATGGTCTCTAGCTTCTTCTCCCCTCCCCCTTACAGACAGAAGAGAAAGCATATGCATATGCACACACACAAACACACTTTGGGGTTTTAAAAATATAGTCTAGACTCCAGGTGAAAGTCAGACATATCCTCTTAAATTTGCATGATTTTACATGGGACTCCACCACCGCCAGAAGCATCATCAATTTAAAGCTGATGGATTTTCATGATTTTTTAATAGGGTGGTAACCAAATCACCAGAAAATTTATACCTGTGGATATAAATGTGACCCACAGTTTTGAGGGGATCCCTCATAAAAATTATGAGGATGCATAAGAATCCATACCCCCAAAACATGTTTTTTGTGCAATGACTGTGCTGGGGAGCACCAGAGCTGATTTTTATGATCCAGGTGTGATCTGTGATTTGATGGTGGTGAGGAGTAGGGAAATCTGTAGCAAAAACATGCAATATGAAGAAGAAGAAGAAGAAGAAGAAGAAGAAGAAGGAGGAGGAGGAGGAGGAGGAGGAGGAGGAGGAGAGTTTGGATTTGATATCCCGCTTTATCACTCTCCTTCAGGAGTCTCAAAGCGGCTAACATTCTCCTTTCCCTTCCTCCCCCACAACAAACACTCTGTGAGGTGAGTGGGGCTGAGAGACTTCAGAGAAGTGTGACTGGCCCAAGGTCACCCAGCAGCTGCATGTGGAGGAGCGGAGACGCGAACCTGGTTCCCCAGATTACTCTTAACCACTACACCACACTGGCTCTCCAGTATCCAGAGGATACCTTTTATTGGATTTGACTTTTATCTCTTCCCTCGCTTTTTTTATCTCTCCCCTCTCTTTTTCTGACTCTCTGTTCTCACTCCCCACCCCAACACCCTCCTCCTCCTGCTCCCTGCTGCATCTTGTTTCTCCCCCTCCTGCCTCCTCCAGTCACTCTGTTGCCTCCCCCATCTCTCAGTCAGCTTTCTGCATTTCTCTGTTGCTGGGCTAGGTCACTGTTAGCCAAGCTACAGAACTATGCTTAAGCAGCCATCTCATACGTGGCCCAAGGAATGTATATTTGTGCCAAGAACAGAAACATAAGATAAGGAAAGCGGTTGGCACATAAGTAACTACCTACTTGGAGCATTCCAAGGTGGTGGTGAAATCTTCCCTTTGGTTTGCACCTGGTTACAGCTGCTGTGAGTGTTGAACAAACCTAAGCAGTGTACATAATGTACGTATTGTCCTGAGTCTTTATATTTGCTCTGTTTCCTCAAGACTGAACTAGGACCACACAGTTACTTCCTGACAGGCATCAATTTGACCATTGTTGCTGGTTCTCAGAGCAGCAACCGGTGATGTAATCATTGCAAATTGATTCAGTAAAACACAATGGCTGGGATCTGAAATTCCACAAAGTTGCAATGAACACTCTTAAAATAATTCTCTTCTGTTTCAATAAAAGCTTTACATATGGAACATCCCAAACACTGTGGTTTAGAGAAGGCCACTGTTGCATGAGATGTCTCCATTCACCCCATATCTGTTGGCTTGGAGTTCCTCTAGAAAAATGATCTTATGCGTGCTTTCTGATTTTACTCTGTTTTAGTTTTATAGTATGGGGAATGTTTTTGCAATGATCAACACGGTACTTGGAGGAACATAAGTTAGTAAAGAAAATATGGCAAAAGAAGCATAAATGGAAGTGAAATTCTTTGTTTTGCAAAACAACAGGATATGGGGGGTGGGGGTGGGGGGAGAGAATAGCAATAATCATGCCAGCTAAAAACATGGTATAAGAATAAATGTAAAGCAGATTTTTCACAAGATTCAGCACCAATTTTCAAATTCAGCATGTGGAAATTCACAAAAAGAGCATAGTCGTGAGTCTAGTAAAAGAAGTTATGATGTATGCTTTCTCCCTTTACAAACAAATGTTTTGGAATGATTTCTAGGCAGAGGGCCTTCTCAGTGGTGGCACCCACCCTGTGGAATGCCCTCCCACCAGATGTCAAGGAAATGAACAATTATCTGACTTTTAGAAGACATCTGAAGGCAGCCCTGTTAGGGAAGTTTTTCATATTTGAAGTTTTATTCTGTTTAATATTCTGTTGGAAGCTGCCCAGAGTGGCTGGGGAATAAATAATAAGTTCTTCTTCTTCTTCTTCTTCTTCTTCTTCTTCTTCTTCTTCTTCTTCTTCTTCTAAATTTTCTATTTCAGAGGAAGTTAAAAATCCCAGCAGGAACATTCCATTGACTGTGATGACAACACTTCCTTCAATAACTGTGTTTTACTTGCTTGTGAACATTTCATACTTGACAGTTCTCACACCAAAGGAGGTTGTCTCCTCAGGTAGGCTGATTGGTTTGCATTTTTTATTCAAGAACTGATCATAGATATAATACATATTCAGTAGATAATAGAGATGGATGACCTGACAATTGTGTTTTCTCCATTTCTCATTTTTCCAGTCTTATGCTCAGTTTACTACTCTGCACCAATATGTGATTTTTTAAAGTCAGCATGTTAATGTGCCTTTCTCCTTATTCTTGTATGCATTTCCCCCCAAATATAAACATTTTTTTATAAACGATTTCCCATATTGTTAATGTTATGTTCACATTTATACATTTCTGTGCACACTTTCCTCTACAATATGCATGTTTTGATTGGAGAAGTTCAGAAAAGTGAGAATTTCGAAGGATACCTGTGTTTCAGTTTGTCTTTTGCTCCAGGAAGTACAAATCAGGCAGGTTCATATTAAAAAGTGAACCAAACCAAAACGAGGCAGGCCAGGGTCTCAAGCAAACCAAAGCAGAGATTTTGCTAATAAAGTCAGAGTTTAAAAAGCATGCAATTATGAACTATGTTAAAGGTGGCAGAAAATCAGAGTTATGTTTGTGTGTTTAACTGAAGCCCTATTTGGTGATTTTTGGAAGTGCATTTTAAATTGTCAGTTGTTTAGCCTATTCCAATCAGGCGTAAGGGATGAAGAATGAAACCAAATAAGCGACCGTTCAAGACTAGTTATGCAACAATGTGAAGGTAGCATGCTAGCCTTTTACTAATTTAAAACTATACCTAATATAAAATAATTCCCCTTTGCTTTGGGATGAGACTCAAATCCCATTGAAATTTATGGATGAATTTCTCTTCCAAGTGATGATGCGTGGTTTGTTGTAAAGAAGACGACAACATAAATTCAATGTGACCAGCATTATTACTGATTGCTGTAGGTGTACAATCTTGTTTCTGGGAATACAGATGACATCACTGCAACACACTTCAGCAACAAGGTGTGTGTGTGTGTGTGTGTGTGTGTGTGCCTGTGTGTATATGTGTGTTTGCAATATATACATAATTTGGCTAATGCCCCACCTCTTATGGCAACAGAAAGTACACAATCTGAAATACTGCCGTGATAGCCTGATGCAGTACCTCCAACTGCTAGCGCTTTAAATGGTCTGGCGGCCACTGAAACATGAGACTAAACTTGATGATCCAGGAGAGCTGTCAAACTGTAACCAGGAGTCTGCTAATGATGTCGATGTTTCCTTGCAGTTGCTGTAGCAGTCACTTGGGCCGACAGGGTGATCCCTTCAGTTGCCTGGATAATTCCTGCATCTGTGGCCATCTCCATATTTGGCGCCCTCAACAGCAGCGTATTTACACTCGGACGATTGACCTATGCTGGAAGCCAATCCGGACATTTGCCCACCATAGTATCCATGCTCAATGTCCACCACTGGACCCCAGCGCCAGCCATGATTTTCTCAACTGTCATTGCATCCATTTTTATTATCCCATCAGACCTAATTGCTTTAACCAATTATTTTGGCTTCTCCGTTTGGCTGATGATTGGATTAACTTGCACTAGCCTGATTGTCCTCCGCTACCGAGAGCCTAATCTGCACAGGCCATACAAGGTAAAAAGAAATACCTAATTAATTGCCATATAAATAACACGCGAGTCTTGCAAGCTTTAAGCTATGGACACTGTAAGCTCAACCCCAGTGATACTAGATGCGACATATGTGCATTAGAAATTGCCTTATGCTTAGACAGATGATTGGTTCATCTAGTCTATATTGTATACACTGACCAGCAGCAAACCTTTTGGAGGGTCAGGCAGAGGTTTTCTACATAAACCTTTATATAAACATATATATATTAGGAGGTGAGCCTACTGAGTGAAGAGCATGCAATTATATGACAGAATTCTTTTTTAACCTTGCCAAAAGACCACATCTTGGTATGGTCCAAAATTACATGTTGCCATTTTGGATAGAATTGTTTTTAAAAGGTAGATCTACACTGCCATCTTAGCCTTGTCTATTAAGAAATAAGTGCTGATGAATTCAATGGGGCTTGAATTCAGAGAAGGTGGAGGTTAGAATTGCAGCTTTCATTGCACATGGGTGTGTATTAGGGGAAAAGAAAATGTGTCTGGACTCTATAAGCAGTGATGCTGTGCACATATGGAAAATGGCAGGGGGACCTGTACTGAAAAGGAGACAGGGATTTTACTCAGCTACAGCTGCAGAATCAAAGGCAAATTCTGAAAGTGCAACACCAAACAAATGAGCCATAATGCAAGGATAGGTCCAGACAGGACCACCTTGCATCGAGACAAGCCAAACTTCACATGTGAAAAATGACTGAACAGTTATTTATACCATCCCCAGTGGCTGTAGGAAGATCACTCAGTACTCAGGAAGTCTGGAGGAAATCTCTTGCGTAATGCAGCTCTGGAGAGATTCTGCCTGGGGCTCTTTCAGTTCTTACCACCTGTCCCCCAAAATAGTTGGTTGGCAGCACAAACATCATCTCTGCTCAGAATATGAAACGTATTTTATTTTTCTGCAGTTTTCACCCCATGCTTGTTCATATATCTGACATTTGCTTTCCCAAACGCCTTTTCTGTTTTGCAGGTTTTCTTACCTGTCGCTTTCGGGATGGTGGCGATTTCACTGTTCTTAGTTTTAGCTCCTATAGTCTGGTCTCCAAAGGTGCAGTACATTTATGCTTCCATTTTTATGCTTGGGGGTCTCCTCTTATATGTGCCTTTTGTCCATTTTAAAATTCATTTTGCGTTTATTGACAAAATCACTTGCTACCTGCAGCTGTTGCTGGAGGTGTCACCTCCTCATTATAAATCTGAGTAAGGGCAAAGGTTCATACTTGGCTGCCTTTTTTGTGTGTTTGAAGAATGTGGCTTGGATCTAGAATAGCACAAATGGAATATTGCTTCCTACAGCCTTCTCTCCAAGGGGGTGGGGGAGACAGTTGGTTTTAATGCAGACCCACCTAATTTGCATTTCTTCAAACAATACGCAAACTGAAATGCAACTCACTGTTGAAATTTGCCCTTCTGATTTTGCAATGCTGTTCTCCAACCCAAAGAAATGTATACAAAAAATTTCTGTATTAGGGGAAATTATGCACTAATATATCATACCTTCCAACAGCTTGTGTCCCAACGCTGGGATGCATGTCTTCCCACCTGTGCTTCTGGGTGAGTCAAATGTCCTGCATGAGATCATGGAGCCCAAAATACATGCTTTCTTTTGGGAGAGATCTTGCCACGGAATCTCATGAGATCAAGGCACCCAAATGGCTGCTGTGCTCTCGTGCAAGAAAATTGGATGCCACATTTTTTTCCTAGAACACTTTCAGGCTATGATATATTCATGAGACTAACACAAAAAATGCATTGTATTAGAGTAAATTGGATACAGAAATATGTATATTAGGCATAGCTGTCAACTTTTCCCTTTTCTTGCGAGGAATCCTATTCGGAATAAGGGAATTTCCCTTAAAAAAAGGGAAAAGTTGACAGCTATGATATTAGGAGAAATGCATATTAAATGCAGATGAATTTTTGTGAGGTCTTTAAAAAAAATCACAAACTGATTTGTAAATATCGTGAACTGAACATAAGATTTGAAAAATGAGAAACAGAGAGAAACTAAAACCGACAGATTTGTCAGTCTGTATTTCTCACTGCTCCTGCCAACCTAGCAGTTCGAAAGCACGCCAAAGTGCAAGTAGATAAATAGGTACCACTCCGGCAGGAAGGTAAATGGCGTTTCCGTGCGCTGCTCTGGTTCGCCAGAAGCGGCTTAGTCATGCTGGCCACATGGCTGTAAGCTGGCTCCTTCGGCCAGTAAAACGAGATGAGCACCGCAACCCCAGAGTCGGTCACGACTGGACCTAATGGTCAGGGGTCCCTTTACCTTATTTCTCACTGCATCTCCCTGGACCATCACCTCAAAGCACAAGGGTACACAATCCCCATTGTGTGAGTGTTTTTCTGCACCCCACCCAATGTTTCTTAAGGTTATAATTTAGTAGAGCTGTCACCTGGTTAAAGGACTCTGAATTTGAAAGCAGCCCAATGCCCCTTTTTTGTTGCTTGCATTTTAAACTTTATTTCAAAAGAGAAGAAAACCCAATTTGCTGGCTGAAGATGACTGTTCTTAGTAACCCAAACTTGTGTTAAACTGTGTTCAAGCATTGTGTTTTAATGCTAATGGGACATTACGTGAAGGGCAGGAATTAATAATAATAATATCATTGGATGGAATAATGTTTAAGTGTAACTGATTTCGGATGGTTTTTTATTGTAATTGTTTTTGGAAGGTTTTAGAATGTTTTTGCTTTTGTTTTCTAATGGTATATCTGTTTGCTGTTCTGGGTTCCTGGGTGAGATATAAATTGAATAAATAATAATAGGAAAAACTCTTGGGGTATCTTTTTTAAGAGCACATTCTAGTATGTTTTGTTTTTTAAACAATTAAACTAAAAACTAAGCATAGTAATTGTTTGTCAAGTCGAATAGAGAGAAGCCACAACTTCTTTAAAAGGGCAATGCCCTAACTATTATCTATTTTAAGGTTGTTATTTATTAGGTCTTCTTCTTTGGCGATCACTCATAGCTGAGTAAGATTGTCTTCCATGAACATGGTTTTAACAGTGAGTCTGTAAGTGACTGCGGAGTCCAGTTCTGGATCCACATGTCCTTCCACAGTGGGGACATTGGTTTCTGGGCTGGAGTTGATCATGGTGAGGGTTTGCCAAGCATGCCTTCATTTTAGCACATTTCTCCCTTTCGTCCTGAGTTCGAGTGTCTTCAGAGGCCATGACATCTTTGGTAAAGCTGTTCTCCATTGGAGCACTCGCAGGCCAGCGTTTCCCAATTGTCAGTGTTTATACTACATATTAGGTGTGCCCCCGAGGATGTGACTAGCCCAGGAATTATTATTTTCCCAGAACTAAATTCACTGTCTTTTGCCCAGACATCCACTCCTGGTTCCCCCACAAGCTTCCCTCATTTCAGCAACCTAATTAGGGTGTTGGGGGAAGACCCACATTTTTTATTATTACAGTCGTACCTCGGAAATTGAATGGAATCCATTCCGGAAGTCCATTCGACTTCTGAAACATTCAACTTCCAAAGCATGGCTTCTGATTGGCTTCAGAAAGCTCCTACAGCCAATCGGAAGCCACAGAAGCCCCGTCAGATGTTCAGGTTCCAAAACAACGTTCGAAAACTGGAACACTCACTTTCAGTTTTTGATTGTTCAGGAGCCAAAACGTTCGACTCCAAAGGAGTTCGGGAGCCAAGGTACGACTGTATTACTATTGTTAAACAACTGGAAGCCAGGAATCTTTGCCTATATAAATCACAGGAATCTACCAATACAGCCCAGTCTCCAATCTCTCTACCCTTGCTCTATACATTAAGTTGAAAATCTTAATTATTTTGGTCAACTGCCATTTTGCATTCATGGGCGAGTTGATAACTGCCCTGAGGCTACAAAATGAAGAAGACGCAACATCAGATTCCATAGATAAATTTCATTTCCTCATATTACCCCCTGTTACCCTTGACTCTTTGATCCCACCCCCAGCATGGGTCACTTGCATGATCCATGAGAAACTATCCAATAACAGGGACATAGAATTTCAGAGGCGCCATGGATGAGATATAGCTGTTTTGCAATCAAACTGTTTGGATACTTCACCTCTGTTTTTGCATCACAACAAATTATCCAATAATTTATTTTAATGCTTTGGTTATAGAAAACAGATGGGTGTCCTGAGTTCATATGCTTGAACCAGTCCAGGAGTTACTGCCATGGAAAACTGAGCACAAATCATGAGTGTTCATGGACCTGTATATTGTGGCTCTTGCAGATGTTTTGTGTCTGCACTTAAGTGATTCACTTGAGATTGGGAGTTTCAATAGCTAACCCAAAGTTCCATTTCACAAAACAGGTAGCAGCATTAGGCTGCGGTGCTATACACAGGGTGTGCATGGACCTCGATGTGCTTTGCACAAAGTGTGAGATTTCACTAGAAATGCAGCGATGCTACAATAGCGGGACAGGCAGTTATCCCTGAGCAAATAATTGGGTTTGGGATGCCAGGCTTATTTGTAGTTAGGGAGCGCCTATCGATACGTCCAGCAGATGGCACCACACAAACAATATCTGACCTGAAGTAGTAGGTAGATTATGCAGAACACAAGAGAAACAGCAGCAACTCATTATTATTATTTTTGCAAGGTAAAAATGTAGATAAATCATTTTCTAGGTCAGGAACTTAAAATCTATTCTGTCTGTGCCTTGCTTTTGAAACTTTTACGAGCAACTCAGGACCACTTGACTTTAAAAGGATATTATTATCCCAAAGAATGTAACTATTGAATAATAATTGAGATATAGATGGAATATGCACACACACACACACACACACACACACACACACAGTGGTACCTCTGGTTAAGAACTTAATTTGTTCCGGAGGTCCGTTCTTAACCTGAAACTGTTCTTAACCTGAGGTACCACTTTAGCTAATGGGGCCTCTCACTGCCACTGTGCCGAATTTCTGTTCTCATCCTGAGGTAAATTTCTTAACCCGAGGTACTACTTCAGGGTTAGTGGAGTCTGTAACCTGAAGCGTTTGTAACCCAAAGTGTTTGTAACCCAAGGTACTACTGTATATACTGTATTCAGAGAGAGAGAGAGAGAGAGAAGTCAATCCCCAAGAATCTATCAGAAGTACACAGTGTCACTGCCACCCCGGTGAGATGTTACTGCCTGAAGGTAACATCTGAAGGTACAAGGCCACCACTTGGCTGAAGCTAAGCAGGTCTGGGTTGGGTTAGTGCCTGGGTGGGGGACCACCTGAGAGCCATATGCATGCCACGCTGCCTTCGGCTCCATGACAATACATCATATCCCTGTAGGTCAAGGCCAATATAGATGGTTGACTTCGGGCAAGCTGCAGTGACAGGAGGATGTTATGTTAGAGAGCCCTTGGATTTTCTACTGGGTCCCTAGGAGACAGAAAGTGCCTGGAAAGCCACTGTGTCCTGGTTGCCTGGCTACTTCTGCATCTGAACTGAAGGTAGCCAGAGCACACAGCTCCTTCATTCTGCAGCAGGTAAATACAGGGAACCATGTGTGGCATTGTGACATTAACATATGAGAGTGCTGGAGGTGAAGTAGTTAAATAATTTATCCAATCAGAATCCAGGGGGGTGGAGTCAGAGGGACTATAAAACCAGCTCTGGGAGGGGCGAAGGAGTTCGTTGGGAGTTGGGTGGTTGGTTGGAGTGGGAGTGAATTGGGATAGAGTCTGCGGGGAGGTTGAGTTAGTGTAGCGAAATAAGCTGAGTCAGGAACAGTTTGGAGCTAGGAAGACAAGTAAATATCTGAGAGGTGGTTTAGTGAGTGAGAGCAGGTAGTGGAAGTTATAGGTCTGGATAGGCACCCTACGATTGTAATGGACCGATACCGTTTATGAAACCACACGCTTGTAAAAGTGCAATAAATAAACAGAAGTTTATGTTCCAATTTAAACCTGACTGGACTCAGTATTGTACCAGGTAGGGCCTGGGTGGTGGCAGTGAGAAATAAAGTGATGGCACAGGGATCAATAGATGGTGAAACGTCTGGGGACCCTGTGTGATCGCCACAGGCATCATGCTTGCATCGCCCTGTAAGGGCTGCAGAAACCAACCTACTCTTGGGGTCTCCTCTCCTCTGAGACAGTTGAGACACTGTACACTGGCACCAACTCAGTGGGCACTTTCAATTGGTTTTTTACCATCATGAGCAGCGGTTACATTTTTGGGGATAGTGGGGGATCTGAAAAAAGAACTGCATGCACAAGCCTCATTAAATTCCTAAAAAATACAGGAAGACGAAAGGGAAACATCAAAATTAATGGGACACTGCATGGCAGACAAATTACAATACCCCTGGGAGCATTCAAATGGGTACTTGATGATGGGTAATAAATAACCACAGCAGTACTGTAAATAGCAATATCCATTATATAAGCGATCATCGCAACACTGTCAGAATGATCGAAAACAATAATGTTATTTTAGCAAACTGCCTGATCAGGCTGAGATCGTGTAAGTTTAATGAAATGCAAACTGCAACAGACTAGAAGACGAACTGGTTCAGAACAGCAAACTCATCCCAACTCATAAATCCATATCAGATCAGTAGTAAAGCAGATCTTGATGAATCCTACAGTTACTCACTGGCCGCAAGATTTGCTGGACTCAAGATTTGCCAACTTAGGCATGTGAAAACTTCACCTGAATCACCCACCCACCTTGTGATTGGGCTGCAAACACAGCTTATGTGCGCCTCTGATAAATACTTTCCCGCCTCTAATCCCTCATCCACACAATATCGTTTGTTACAGCACAGTTTTAATCTGAACTAGCACTTTTAAAAAAATCCATAAAAAGTGACCTCCATTCATAGCAAGGACACCACGCTTCATTGTATTTTTTCCAGTCTTCCAATTAAAATACCAATTAAAATATTTGGCCAGGATAACCTTAGATCAATAACAGACGCCTAAGAGCCGGAAATTCTGATTCAGTGTAGGGCTGTAGCACAGCAGTAATAGACCTTTCTCCACCAAGAACTCAAATGTTGAATAAATGTAGTCCCATTAAAATAAGCCTTTCTTTTGAGCATTTGAAAATGTAGCTAATTCCTCTATGGGGAAGCTGGGCATAAACTTGAGTTGTTTAATTTGTGACCTCTTAAGCCTTGTTGCTGATGGGGTTATTTAGAGGTTAATCACACAACTGTTGGTACCACACAACTGTTCTTCAACAATATATAATTGAGAATAGTGCAAGCAGAAAAAGAATATCTGCATTTATATTTGATTATTTCAGAATGTATTCTCCCTTCTACTAGTTATTGCAGAACTACATATGGTATTGGAACCTATTCCCATTAAAAGCAGGTATTTACAACCAACCACTCATTTTTTCTGATTTCAACAAGCTTTGTCCAACAGGAACAGAGACAAGAAGCATGTGACTTTCCAGATAGTGTAGGACTCCAACTCCCATAAGCCCCAGCCAGCTTGCCCAGTGGTCAATGTGGATGGGAGCTGTAGTCCAACAACATCTGGTTAGATGTATTAGACCCTGTATTAGAGATATAAGCTCTAGAAGCTTTTCTTATTGCAAGCAGAAAAAAGTAGACAATGATTCTCAGGATTTCCAGATTCATGAGCAAGTTGTGTGCTTGGTCAGTGCAGCCACAGAATCACACAGCCCTGAACATAACAGACCAATGGCATGTGCCAAGATGCCTCCATAAACTCAGCTGGAAGAATAAATGCTATTACGATGAATTTTTGGAACAAATCTCAAAGCTTAAAACGAATTCACATGATGTATTTCTGTGTTAATTATAATCCCG